GTTTCTGGTTATCTGCTCCCCTGCATTAATTTAACATTCCCTTTCTCAAAGTCTTTACCAAGAACTCTTACAAGTTATTCCACTAGGCAGCCTGCAAGGTAGATTAGTAATCATTATCCTCACTCATACGGATGAGGAAACAAGGCTCAGAAAGATTAATTGACTTGCCCAAGGTCACATAGCGAGTTAGTGGCAAAAGCCAGATTAGAACCCCGAGCCCCTGAGTGCTCAGGCCAGTGCCCAGCTCCATGATCTCCCTCGACCATTCACCTAGAGCATGGGCAGAGCCAGGTCTGCGCCCTCGGGAGCCCTGGATGCCAGGTGAGCTGCTGCAGAGGGCACAGACAGGCTCATACTCACATGCAGAAACCTGCTGGATCCTTCTCTGTACCACCAGACAGCAACACCCCTGTGCTGGAACAGACAGAAACAAGGCTCAAGTCAGGAAAGCCAAGGGTGGCCACTGTGGGCTTTCATCTCCATTTCTGGAATTTGCCTTTGAGATTTCGCTTCATTTCTTTTTGGGAACCAGGCCTGTTCTCCAAAGCTAGAGCATGGGAGAATATGTGATCTCTCTGCCTGGAATTTGTTCATTCCCCCATTCCCCAATCATGTCCCAGACACCTACTATGCAGCTGGCAATGTGCCAGGGGCTGGAGAGAGACATAAGAAGAGGAAAGACAAAGTCCCTGTCTTGAAGGAGTTCAGCCTGCCAGGGAAACAAACATAGACACGTACAATTATTAGACAATGTGAAATTAATTCCACAAATATTTGTTGCACACCTGCGATGTGCTAGGCATTAATGAGGTTAACCCAAGAGTAATGAGGGCATGCAGTGGGAGTCAGAGAGGCTTCCTGGTTGAAGAGACATGTGAGCTAGGTCCTGAAGATCGAGGAGAGTTTAACTGAGCAGCTAGTCCCTTCCTTGCTGAAGGAACACTGACAAGGAATGAACCTGAAATGCTTTGAGCACTTCTTTCCTACATAAATCCTTGAAGAGGAGTTCTACCCTTTAGAGACTCAGTTCTTAGGGATATTAGATTCTATTTCTGACTGTGTGAACTGTTGCTTAATCTCTGTAGGCCTCTGTTGACCTGTCTCTCAAATGGGAGTGAATAATGCCCCGTGTTTCAGAGGGTGGCTCTGGGGTCAATGAACAATTTTTGGAGACACGGCCACACAAAAGTCCTTGAGAAATGAATTCCTCACATGGCCTACGATATTCTGTTTCCCACTAAGTCTGCTGCACTCCAGCTCTCAACAGGAAATTGGTTTTATTTATAAGAATCACAATCCTAAACTGACCTTTGCTGGGCTACCCACCCACATTCCCTCCCTCCCCTCCCTCTCCTTCCCAAGACACATCCTCCCTCCACAGATTCCTCAGTGACCACAGAACTAGCATTGAAGGGCCATTGGGGGTCAGATAGAGGAACACTATGAAGACTGGAGGTTATTTTCCAGATGGGGAAACTGAGGTCTGGAGAGTTCAGCAATTTGCCCAAGGAAATGGAACCCATGGGTCTCCAGGTTCCTGAGCTGCTGCTTTCCATTACACCATGACTGCCTTCGTGTCTCAGCCAGGGCTCTACACAGAACAAGCCATTCTCCCTTAGCTTGGGGAAAGTCTCTCTTCTCTGAATGACAGAAGCTTTTAAAGAAACATTTCCCATTATTAAAGGGAATTGGAAGGAAACTGGCACAGCTTCCTCCCCTTTGAAGCTCTTTGGCCCTTCCCGGCCCTTTAATTGTGTTGGAACCAGCCCAGCTCCCAGAGCTCCCACCCCTCAGATGAGAGGAAGGGCCCAAAGCAGAATTCCCCTACTCTGCTTGGCCTTTCGGCACCAAAAGTGACCTCTCAGAATTTCTGTTTCAGACCATTTCATTGCCACATCATCCAGGGCTCCCACGCAGCTTCAAAGTCAGGGAGCTCAGGGTCAAGTACAAGGAGCAAACCCTGAGCTTAGGATTTTAAGCACCACATTTGAGATCGTTTTTAAGCAACATTCCCATAGCCTTTTAAAGCCTCTAATAGCTGAAGGTGATTATAGCAGATTTCTGCAGGTATTACGAGATTTGGTTAAGGCACATCATGTGGGTATGGGGAAGGGGGGTATCCCTTTCACCCCACACTTGCTCTTACTTTTCCAGGTAAGGAAAGTGTATATACATAATTACTGATCTTTTTTGCTATTTTGCTATTTCATTTTTTAAAAAAAGGAAATTTGGTTCCCAACTTTGGCTGCACATTGGAATCACCTGAAGACCTTTAAAAAATACAATGCCCAAGCTGTGCCCTAGACCAATTCAATCAGAATGTCTTGGGTGGGGCCTTTCCATCCATATTTTTGAAAACTCTGCAGATGATTCCACTCACAGCAAAGGTTTAGAACTACTGCCTTAGGTAGAACTTAGGTAGAAAAAAACCCTGAGTTTGTAGGCATTGAAAAATAACAAATACAGACGATTCCTGAAGGTAGCATGCCCATCTCTTTTAACTTGCTTTTCTTTTTCAGACCTTCCCTGACTACAAACATCAGGGTTCCCATACAAGCTTTGAAGTATTTCACTGGCTTGACTCTTTGTAGTTCATATTTTCCTCCAGTGCCCTACAGCTAAGTGGGGGGACTGGATGATCAGATTCAGAAACAAAAGAACACAGAAAAAGAACGATTACACTTTGAAACAATTACTGTGATCGAAATTGAAGTTGAGTATCTCAACCAGGCCCATCTGCATCCAAATGTGATGCAATTTCAGGAAGCTTCGGCATGGTTGTTCCAAGCACAATCCACAGATAGTAGGTCAGTCACATTTGGCCCAGACTCACTCACCAGCTGGGAGAGCAGTTAGAACCAGAATGCGTGACCACACTGGGTGAGTTCAGCCAATGGGCTCATGCACAGCAATAAAAGGATGCCCTTATGAGAGTCATAAATATGTAAACACATAAGGATGGGAACCATCTCAAAGCACCCTGTAGGACTTGGCCCCACATCCTGACATTTGCAAGAGTCTTACTGCTTACACAACACCAAAGAGATTCACATACAAGACACAGCCACTTTACCATCGCTATTTATGGCAACTCTCATAAGAGCACTGTCTCTCTAGGAAGGGATTCCCACATACTCCATGATCCCTTATTTTTGCTTGGGCGAGCCATGGCTATCTAGCAGAAATCTTGGAAGGGGCAGGGAAGAAAGTCTGGAAGTGTCTCTGCATTAGACATAGGGTGATATTCCAACCACCCGTCAGCTCCAGACCTCTCTTTACATCCTGCAAGACAATGGAAAATCCACGCAGAGCCTAAAAATGAAAGGCTATTTTTGGAGGATGTACAATACATAATAAGCAGGCTAAGGAACATGGCAAGACAATTTCTCCTACATGAACTGCTTTCTAAGATTTGCAAATTAGAGAAAACATTTTGAGACTCTGAAGACAGCCACAAGGCATTTCCACCTACCTGGGAGAGGGAGAGCTCAAAATTGGAAATACAGCAACATAATGAAGAGGCATTCAAATAACATATTTAAAAAGCATCACACATAATAAGAATTTTTCTTTACAATTTTTACTTAGGTTCTGAGAGCCCAAGTAAATAAACCTTGCTTTTTCTATTTAACTTTGTTGTTTAAACCGCTATACCTAGTTATTCCAATAACTTTAAAAAAGTGCCCCTATCTCCGACAAGCAAGAGGAGACTATGGATTCTAGTCAATTACACTGACTAGACATCCCAGCTTTGCAAGTCAGGGAGGTAGAAGACAACCCAGAGACCAACACTTCCTGTCAGACTCAACTCAAGGCCTGAATTCCCAGAGAGGGTCCCTCCCAACGGGCCCAGGGTCCCTGGTCGGGGAGGGAGCGCAAAGGGCCCTGTTACCAGGAGCTGTACTACAGCTTCCTCAAGTGTCTGAGATAGCGTAAGTGCGCATCCAGTCATTCAAGCACAAAACGGACGTGATCCCAGCAGAGATGGGCTTCATTCTGCACATGAACTTTTCCATTTAAAGGGTGTTCAAAGTGCAACTCATCTGCCTCTCAGGGAAATGGGGAATTCTAAATCCTGGGGCTGGAGGAATCCCCAAATTTCTCAGTGAAAGGTGTAGTAAACATATTAGCAGCATGACGCGAGTGAGGCAAAATAAAGATTTTTCTCATGAGTCAAACACTGGAATTTGAGTTGGATTAGCCTCTGAAACATTGGTAATTCTCAAGCTTACCCACTTACCACTCTGTGTCTGATTTACTGCAAAATGATGAGGCAGATACATGTGTTACCAAAAACATAAACACCCTGAACTGGAAACTAAGTTTCTTTCTGTTGGCAAAAAGCCCCTAACTGATCCTCTTCCAGGATGGGAGGATTTCAAGCTCCTGAGAGAGAACGATAACTAAGAAGACTTTCATCAGGTCAAGGGCCAAGTCAAAAGCTGTCAATAAAAAAGCCTTCTGAGAACAACTGGACATTTGGGAAGAAGACCCCAAATGTGATCTTCCCTGATTTAGAGAGATTAATATGCTGATTTGAGAAAGTAGCTTGCAACCTGCAGCTAACCCCCCCCCCCACACACACACATACCCCAGCTTTGCAAGTCAGGGAGCTGGAAGGCACCCCAGAGGCCAACACTTCCGGTCAGGTTCAACTCAAGGCCTAAATTCCCAGGGAGGGTCCCTCCCAAAGGGTGGAGGGCCCCTAGTGGAGGAGGGAGTGCAAATTGCCCTGTTACCAGGAGCTGCGCCGTGGCTTCCTCAAGTGTCTGAGACAGCCTAAGTGCGCATTCAGTCATTCAAGCACAAAACTGACGTGATCCCAGCAGAATTTGAGACGAAGAAAATCACTGGGTTAGAAATTCGAGAGAGGCTTCAGGAAGGGTTCGCAGAAAGAAATCAAAGGTGGCCAACTCCTCTGACCCTGCCCTCCCCTCAACCCCCACCCCCATCCGCCAACCCCCGCCGGCTCCCTGCTGTCGGCAAAGCCCCTTCCTGAATCTGTGACGCTCTGCCTGGGACTTGGATCTTTCGTCTTCACCAGTAACCGGGCGACCCAGACGAGGAACAGCAATGGGAAAGTGAAAGACGGGACTACTGCCGGGAATGAGGCCGGTCCCAACAGGTCCCTTTATGTCAGTTGCAGGGATCAGAGCCCGCCGGGAGTGAGATTGCTTAGGCATCTGAGCGTTCTCTTTTTATTACTCTCTCCCAGGGGAAAGTAAATATAGAAGCAGCATTTCCTCTCGAAGGTTTGGCGGAGATCGGGCCAGTACCAGAGAAGGCAAGAGGCTTTTCCAAAGGGAAGGGGTCAGCGAGGGAGGGGGGAGGGGGGAGCGCCCGCACTCCCTGTACTCCCTTTTCAAAAGAACCGCAATGGAGACTTGTTGACCGGCCCCGAGGCTCCGAGTGCGGGGACTAAGCTGAGCACTGGGCGCACCCGGGACGGCCCGCCCACCAGGGTTTGGAAGAGATCCTGGCCACCGCCAAACCCAAAGCTCGCCCAGCTGCGCACTGAGCTAAGCCCAGCGGCCGGGACGCCTCCAGGAGCTCCACCTGCCGGGCACTCCGTTTGGCCCCCAACCCTCGCATCTCTCCCTTCTTGGGGTGGGGGAGCAGAGAAGGGGTCGGAGAGAAACGGCGACCCGAACCGCTGGACGTTTGGGGAGGACCTAGCCCGGAGTGGGTCTGCGCGTCCACTCTACTGTCCAAGCGCTTTGCCCCGAGCAGGAAGCCCCCAGCCCGGCGCCGCGCCCGCGCGAAATGACCCAACAGCCCTCCCCTTTTCCCCCAGCAGCTCCGCACGGTTCCCACGTTCTTTGGGGATTCCTTCGCCCCAGGCATCTCTCCCGCTCGGAGGGACTGAGGGTGGAGTGGGGCGCCGGACGCACCCTCTCTCCTGCAACAGGTGAGAAGCCCCGCCACGCCCCCCACTGACGACCCCCTCCTTCAGCAACCGGGAAGATCAAAGGGCTCGAGCCGCGGCCACCACCTAGGAGCCCACCCGCCCGTTCCGCGGCGCTACTGTAGCCCCCTCCTCCGCCCAGGTCCGGGCTGGGCGGGGGCTGTAGGCTCTGCTCATCCCGAGTCCGGGCGAGACCAGCCCTAGCCCTGCCCTCTGCGGTGCTGGGCGAAAGGGAGTGGGTGCGCGCCGCACGGGGACCCGGTGTCCTCACCTTTGTACCGCTCCATCGGAGCCACGGAGTGGGCTCCTCGCCGCTCGGCTCCGGCGCTGCTCTCCCGGCTCTCGGCTCCGCGCCCAGGCCGCCGCGCTGGCCCCTCCCCGTGAGGTCACGCTCGCGGCCGGACCTCTTGGCGGGGCCGCCGCGCCCCAGGTTTTGGGACGAGGCCTCTGTCAGGGCGCGCCCCACGCGTCCGTGTCCCAGCGCTGGAGAACTCCGGCCCGCCGGGGCTGACCGTCGGTGCTGGAGTCGGTGCGCACCCGCGGCCCTGCTCGCCGCCCCCGGCCGCCTGGCACTCCCTTCACGTTCCGGCTCCGGGGGCGGCGGGAGGGAGTGTGACTGGGATGTTCCCAAACTCTGGGGGAGGCTCCGGGGGGCCGGGCTTGGGTGGGACTCCAAGACTGTCCGCCCCCGCGACCCCACCCCTCCACCCCGCTGCAAACCCAATGCTGGAAGGGGAGACTCAGGTCCCAGCTAGGAGGTCCAGACTGGCTTAGAGCGCCTCCCGCTTGACTCCCGAGTCAGAGCGCTTTGGCCCTAAGCCTTCCTGGAGGGGCGACTAAGGTAGGGGTGGGGGCAACCAAGCCTGCTCCGTGTTCCTTGGGGATTGTCCCACTCTCTGGGAACCTCTCTGGGCAGCCGCTGCCGATCGCGCACACTTTAGGGTGTGTGAAAACATCCACTTGCTGCCTTCTATCTGTATTTCCAGGACCAACGCCACAGGTTGGGGAGCGCTGTTTCCAGCGTGCCCAGGAAACCTGGCCGCCTTGGAGGGGTGGCGCCGGTTCCAGAAGGAAGCTCGGCGGTGACTCTGACTCTCCACCCTGCACTGCCTCCATCCAGCAAGAGCCACACTGTATCCTTTACCTGTTGCCACCGGCCCCTCCAGGCCCTTAACATGAGCAAGTCTTCCCCATCCTCCCCCACCCCCGGAGATCTATGTGTTCTTTTAAACTTTTCAGTTTTCACTTTAAAATCTCAGTCACAGTTTGTGCGGGGTTCCTGGTTTCTTAACAAGTTCCCCAACTTCCTTGAAGGAACACTTAAGGAAGATTTGGCAGTGGCTGTTTTCTAAAAGACTTCTTAATTCTTCCCTGGAATAGCAGATGTGGTGTTGGTGTTTGGAGACCTCCCTCACCCGGTCCCAGCAGCATAAGGACATATTTTTCTTAGTTGTGCTAGCATCTAATGTGGATGGCGCCCTCCCCACAAGCAAGGCATGCTGCTAAGGAGCATACATCATCACTGCCTTTAGTTTCCCCCATAAACCTGTGTCGTGGGTATGACTGTGATATCTATCATGGCGGTGAAGAAGCTACAGCTTAAAGAGGTTGAGCAATTTACTCAAAGTCACACAGCTAGAAAAGAGCAGAGCAGGCTTTAAACCCAGAGCTGTCTGCTTCCAAATGTGTATTTTTTTTTTTTTGGAGACAAGGCCTTGGTTTGTTGCCCAGGCTGGAGTGCAGTGGCACCATCTTGGATCACTGCAGCCTCAAACTCCTGGGCTTCACATTGATCGTTAGAGAAATACAAATCATAACTGCAGTCAGATGCCATACTGTCAGAATGGCTATTATTAAAAAGTCAAAAAATAACAGATGCTGGCGAGGTTGTAGAGGGAATGCTTATACATTGCCAGTAGGGATGCAAATTAGTTCAACCATTGTAGAAAGTAGTTTGGTGATTTCTGAAAGAACTTAAAACAGAACTACCATTCAACCCAGAAGTCCCATTATTGGTTATATACCCAAAGGAATATAAATGGTTCTACCATAAAGACACATGTACATGTATGTTCATTGCAGCACTACTCACAATAGCATAGATATATAATCAACCTAAATGGTCATCAACAGTAGACTGGATAAATAAAATGTGGTACGTGCACACCATGGACTAGTACACAGCCCTGAAAAAGAACAAGACCATATCATTGGCAGCAAGGATGTGAAGGAGCTGTAACAAGACCATGTCCTTTTCAGCAAGGATGGATGCAGCTGGGGGTCATTTTCATAAGCAAACTAATCAAACTAATGCAGGAACAGATAACCAAATACCACATGTTCTCACTTTTAGGTGGGGTCTAAACACTGAGTACACATGGACACAAAAAAGGAATTGACAGACACCAGGGCATACTTGAGGGTGGAAGGAGAGTGAGGATTGAAAAATTATTGGGCAGTACGCTTATTCCTGTGTGAGATAATCTACGTACCAAACCCCTGTAACACACAATTCACCTACAACAAATTTGCACATTTGTCTGTGAAATAAACGAAAAGTTTTAGAAGAAAAAGAAGAATAATCAGAAAATTAAATATTTTTTAAAATATATTTAAAGTAAAACTGGGATGTGTTGTGTTAAATGAAATAAAATGTTTAGGCCAGGTGCGGTGGCTCATGCCTGCAATCCTAGCACTTTGGGAGGCCAAGCCGGGCAGATTACTTGAGGTCAGGAGTTCAAGACCAGCCTGGCCAACGCGGTGAAATCATGTCTCTATTAAAAATACAAAAATTAGCTGTGCGTGGTGGTGCACACCTGTAATCCCAGCTACTCGGGAGGCTGAGGCATGAGAATGACTTCAATCCAAGAGGTGGAGGTTGCAGTGACCTGAGATCCTGCCACTACCCTCCAGCCTGGGCAACAGAGTGAGACAGTTTCAAAATCAATAAACATTTAAAATTTTAAATGAAATAAAATGTTTAAAAACAAACAAACAACAACCAAAATTCCTCCTGGGCTTCAGTAATCCTCCCGCCTCAGCCTCCCAAGTAGCTAGGACTACAGGCACACAGCATGACACTCGCCTAGTTTTTTGGGTTTTTTAAAAATTTATTATTTATAGAGACGGGGTCTCCAACTCCTAGGCTCAAGTGATCTTTCCACCTTGGCCTCCCAAAGTGCTGGTTTATATGTGTGAGCCACCATGCCAGCCACAAATAGTAACAAAATTTCTTGGCACTCATAGGAAGTGCCAAGCTATTTGTTACCATCTCAAGGGGCACACAGCCAGCAGATGCTCTCATAAGACAGAAACACAAGGGATTCTGGGAACCCATAAGAGGACGCTGAAACCAGCCTGGAGAAGCCCAGTTCCCCTAGGAAGAGGCAATGGCTGTGCTGAGTTCCATGAGTTAGATGAGTGTGATGAGTTGGCTGAGTGTGATGAGTTTGAATTAGTGAGGTGACAGGGGAGGTACATTGAGTGCAGCCTCTAGTCAGAAGGGACAGTGGGGACAGAGGCAGGGAGATGAGTCCTTTCAGCATCAAACAGCTCTGTTGCTGCAGCAGAAAGGGGGAAGCCAGGCGTGAAGCAAGTGAGGCTGGAGAGGTGGGTGCAGCACTGCTCCAGGGCGCAGAGTGCTGAGCTGAGGTCAAGGAGATTAGCAGCACCGAAGAGTGTGGGTGCCCCGGCGATCCCCCAGGGCTTGAGAGCAGGGGGAGCACAGGAGGCTGTTGTACCCACCAGGTGAGAAGTTATGGGTTTGTGGAAAAGTGGATGGGGAAGAGAGGACTGATGGCAGAAACATCTGAAAGTTGTGCCTGAGCAGAGTGTGAGGGAGGAGGAAAAGCTGAGGCTGACTCTGCAGTTTCCAGCAATTTCAGTGGTTGGCTGAACGGCATCACCCAGCCCTCATATGTAAGGCCTGCTGTGTGCCAGGTGTCACCAGGAACTGCAGAGCATGAGGAAGGCAAACAAGTCTTGTTCTCCTGGGCTGCTTTGGGGGTGGGGATGGGGACAAAGAGAAAGAAAAGATGAGCATCATTGAGCCAGAGACTCAGAGGTGGCTGCAGGTTGGGGAGTTGAAGAAGGTGAAAGGCCCATGTTGCCCCCCGGGGAGTTAGAGCTCTGGGTCTGTAGCCTAGAGCTCAGCCCCTGACATCAGCCAGTCGTCCATGTGGGCCTAGCTCAGAAGGGTTCAAGAAATAGAAAAGTCAGAGGCTGCGGCAAGAATGCTGAGAGGGAAGAGGAGAGGGAAGAGCTTTCTGCGGGCTCCGGGCAAGCTGGACCTGGAGAGTGGGGCAGGACCGAGGGCATCTTGTCTTCTTGTGTTCTCTCTCTCTGCTTCCCTTTCTTTCTTCATCTTGCAAACGGCCCTGCCTGGCCTCCACCCTCCATTCTACCAGTGTCGAGAGACTACTAGCAATGGGCCCCGGTTGCCTTTCACATTCTCAGGGTGAATCTGATGGTGTAGCTCTTCCTTTTGAAGCAGGCCTCAAGTCTCTGGTCCCAGTCCTAGCTGTCATCAGGGGCCAATGAGGCCAGGCGACAAGGTCCCACTCAGCAGCCGTTTGCTTGAGCTGACTGTCCCACCGGGGTGGCTAGGACCCAATTGTGCTATCTCTGTTTCACAGATGAGGAAGCAAAGAAGTTAAGGGACTTGTCCAAAGTCTCAAATTAAGTAATCTCTCTTTCAAAACTAGGACTCAAAAATGAAGTTTCCTGACTCCAATTTCCTGTGCTTTAACAGAGCTTTTAGTTCAGGCTGTCCCAGGGCTCCAGCTGGACAGAGCTTTACCCCAGCAAACCCTTTGGTGGTCGCCTCCCTGAGCACTTCCTGTAACTGCAGCCCCCTCCCTCCAGGCTGGGGACAGCTCAGTATCTCCACTTTGCCTGCCCCGTCTGCCCCTTTCCTCACTGGCTCCAGCCTCTTTAATTGCCTCTTCCCTAAATCCTCTGTAGTTTATTGATGGAGACTTGGCAAATCCTGGAGTCTCTAGACAAACAAAAATCAATCAGAAATGTATGCAGGGTGAATTCAAAACGGGAATTCACTGCCTTTTCCAAGAACAAAACTGAAAAAGAAAAAAAACCCAACACTTAAAACCATCAATAGGAATCTTGGGCCTCTGGAAGCTCAGCACTGTTTCCTCCTCTCTAAAACCTGGGTACAATTTAACCCCTTGTGGCTTTGCAACATCCACACAGGACTCATTCACATTTCGATTCAAATTCATTGGGTTTTATAAATGTCCTTATTACATTCCTGTGACGTAGAGTAAACAAAAAATAACTTTCTAGAGACCCATGTAATTGAAGATCAAAGAGCCCAAGAAAGTCAGTTTTGGAAGTGGCAGAGGTAGGGCACTTTTATTCCGACCCTGCTTTCATACAGAGGTTGGTAATTCTGAGAACCAGCATGCTTGTCCACATCACACTGCAGTTCAGGGGCTCATGGTCCAGAGCCTGCACCTGCTTTTTGCGGCCTGAGTGTCCTGGGCCCTTTTTGGTCCCTAGGATGGTTGATGAGCAGGCCCAATGGGTTTCTACTCCACGTGAGAAGTTGGCTCCTCCTCTCGAGACTCTGTGGGTGCTAGCTCAGCCTTGCCCTTTCCTCTCCCACTCCAGAAAGCACACTGGATGCTTTTGCAAACTGCCCTCCCACCCTCAGATTCTGATATGTCATCCCCACTCTCCAGAAGAGATCGAGAATTGACCCTCCCTCATCACCTTTCTTACTTTCCTCCTGAAATCACGCAGGCAACTCTTAGCTAACCTACTCTTAGCTAACAGGGTGGATTCTCAAACTCTCAAAAGGGTTTCTTCTCCAGTTATTGGGGCTGGAGGACGCAAAAGGACCAATTCTGTAGTTATCTTCCCGTCAAAATCAGAGGTTCCACCACTCAGTGAATAGACGCGTCCTCGGTCTTTGGCTCCTACCATTTCCCTTTTGTCTTTATCTCACACTCCCTGGTTCACCTGCAGGCCCTTTGCCTCCCATTTCCTCCTGTGATTTCTAACCCATGTGTATAGACTATTTCAGAGCTGTTTGGAAACTTAGAGGTCAATACTGCACCCAACCCTGTGACCTGATATTAAGGATGCAGGAATCCAGGAATATGCCAGCTGATGCTGGTGAGCAGAAGCATCAGCCCCAGAGCCAGGACACAGTATCCCAGCAAAGGCCCTTGTCCATCTGCTTCTCTTCAGGGCTCCGCTGACCTTTCTCACCGGGCAGTCCTAACCCCATGTCATCCTGAGTAAAACTCATAGCTTCGCTGAAATATGCCTGAGTTGTTCCGGTTCCTGGACAATTGCCAAGGTCTTGATCTTGGATTCACTTCCTGGATGATTTTTCTTTTCTTTTTTTGCGACTCTTCCTGTGATTGCTAAGATCATCATTTCTCAGATGAGGCTCAAGCAAAAATTCAGCTGGACCAGAATGGGCAGCTCCACAGTTTCCTCAGAGTCCCCAGGCCAGGCGAGCTCAGAGAGGAATCATTGCTTCAATGCCTAGAAGCACTTCCTTATCAGCAGAGCAATGCCTTTCCCTTCTGGAATGCTCTCCCAGACCCAGCCAAGCAGACTTCCTCCTCCATCAAGGCACCCCATAACTTCTTGAACGGATTGAAAAGTTGAAAGGATTCTTGCTATCCTATGATACTTTTAGGCAAGATTCATTTCTTGCTTGATAACAGAAAATAAAGACCATTTTTCTAGGTCGTCTCTCTCCAAATAGACTATAAATGTGAACAGAAACTCAACAGAGGCCCCTTGGTAGCCAGTCAGGGCTGGCAAACCTCAGATGGTTGGGTTTATAGACTTGTTGGTTCAGGGATCTGCTACACACCTACAGCCACTCACACTGAGTCATCCACTTCTCTGCAGTGGGTGCTTCCTCCAGCACCTCACTGCCAGCAAGCTAAGCTCCCCAAGGCCTCTTGAAGCTGCCTGGGCACCACATCAGGCCGGAAAAGCTCAGCTTCTTCAACCTTCTTCATTTAGTGTGGCTGAACTTCTTCCACCCCTGACTCTTGGGTTACAGAACACCACTCTCTCCTGGTTCACATGCCTGCCTGAGACATCTTCCAGCTCCTCAGATCCTGGGTGAACTCCTTATCGACCTCTTTCCCCATGGCTGAGTGGATAGATAAAGTAACATTTTAAGTTATCTTTTTTTTCTAAAGTCATGTATCTGGGAAATTGGTAGGAACAGGGGAAGAAACTACTTAAGATTGGCCCAATCTTGTAGAAACAAGATTTTATTAGTAGCCAAGGAAAAGAGGTGGGTAGTGATGGGGCTCTGGCCAAGCAACCCCGTGGGAGATGGAAGTGGAACAGAAGGCAGTCTGGAGGGCATGGGCACGCATGTTGGTATTCCTGCCACCAGATACCTCTCCAATAGGTCCTGCATGCTGCCTGCAGCTCACCAATCTGCCTACCCTTAGACATGCAGCTTGTGTTTCCTTTAAAAGTGTCGATTGAATTTATACCCCTCATCTTCAAGGTTGGAAACGGGGGTGCTGAGCTATGGCATGGCTTACAAGAGCCACATGAGCAGGTCCTGGTGGGGCTAGGGCAGGACTCCAGGCTCCCGATTCCCAGCTGCTGTGCTGATTGTGAACCCAGGGTCACTGTGGCCTCCATGATAGGAAATGTTGTTACACCTGGCCAAGGGCCCTGGTCCTGTTCTCCTGCTCAAAGGCAGCCTTTCTCCAGCCCCAGACACCAAGCCAAGCTCCGCACTGAGTACAGTTTAGCACATAGCAAATGCCCACAGTGATTCATGGAATGAGGGAATGAAGGAGCAAGGCATTCTCAGCAGTAGTGATTGTGCCCTCAGGGGATGAAAATTGGATCTTGGGCAAATGTGAAAAAAAAATCTCACCCACAGTATATAATTGTACACACACACAGAGAAAGAAAGAATGTAAATGGATACAGAGTTTATCTGCGGCATTAAAATTTCATAGGGGAGTGATTAGCACAAAATATCTAACAAGACTCCTGGGGGAGTCCATGATGAAATAATAAAAGAGAGGTTAAGAAACACAGGAATACAGGCTCTGGAGACCAGGTTAGAATCTCTCCTCCATCTCTTTCTAGCTGGGTGATCTTGGATAACTTATATCAACTTTCTTTACCTCAGTTTCTCCCTCGGTCAAATGAGAATGAAAATTCTACTCACCTCAGAGGCTATTGTGAGGACTCCATGAGATCATCCATGGGAAGAGTTTGGCTCAGTATCTCTGCGTACATTCACAACCAATATTAGATACAATAATTATTAAGATGGCTGAAAATGAGAGAGTCTTCCCACTAACGTGATAACGTCATGGGAATCAGGACTCCTGTGGCAGAGAAAACAGAACTACCAATCGTTGCAATGGCCATTACCCTACAGGCAAAAGAGACCTGCTCAGTGCTAAGTATTGGAATTGGATCTCTGATTTCAACCACCCAGCTCCCATCTACCACCCACTCAGCTACCACCCTCCACCTACCTGAGCAAGGTGCCAGCTGCTTTGTTGGATAGTAAGTTGCACAAAGCTCTTAAGGGACTTACAGACCTAAAGGGAGACAGGAAACTCTATTCTTTTTCCTTTTCTTTGAAGCAGGGTCTTGCTTTGCTATCAGGCTGAAGTGCAGTGGTGCAATTACAGCTCACTGCAGCCTCAACTTCCTGAACTCAAGTGAGCCTCTTGCCTCTCAGCCTCTTGAGTAGCTGGGACTACAGGTACATGCCACCATGCTCTGTAATTTTGTTCATTTAAATTATTGTAAATATTAGATCTCACTATGTTGCCCACACTGGTCTTAAACTCCTGGGCTCAAGGTATCGCCCCACCTCAGCCTCCCAAAGTGCCTGAGATTACAGGTGTGCACCACCGCACTTGGTTAGAAAGTCTATCCTCACTGGAAAAACAGCCTAATCAAAGCCAGTGAGTCTCAAACTTTAACTTGTATAGCAATCACCTGGGAATCCTTTTAAACTTTAGACCTGATTCAGTCCATCTAGAGTTGGAACGGAGATTTGACATTTCTGACAAGCTCCAGGTGATACCAATGCCACTGGTTTAAGCCACAGTTTAAGGAGTGAAGTGTGGAAGGAGCTGCTCTTTTCCAGTTTGCAAACTGGGGAAATGGTGTTTTCCTTTCTCTGCTGATGGCTGCATATTATCTTGACACCTGATGGGGTCCACAGTAAAGGGTCTAAAAAATGTCACGCTGCGTAAATTATGGAAGAAAATCTTCAAGGAGTGTTCATCCTGCAACCAGGACTCACAGTGAGTCTCTGAATATTTTGAACACTGTGTTACTGTGAGATCACTTCAGTGCTCCGGCCGGATCACATGACTATACTTGTCTTTTATGATCAAAATACATAGGAGGAGAAAGGGGGAAAGAGACAGAGAGAAAGAAAAACAAGGGGAGGAGAGGGAAAGAGAAGGATCACTGAAACACAGCTTCCTAACTTCCTTTTGGAAACAGCCTAAGGTAGCCATAATTTCTTCTGGAAGAAATGACTGAGAGAATATAAATGGGAATGTTTTATAGAGGAAGCCCTAGGAGGACAGAATATTTGAAACCAGGCCAGCATAATCACACAGTGTCTAGGGATCTCATTCTATCACTAGATTCGACTTTTTAGTAGAATTCAAGTAATGTTTATGGAATATCTTAGAATCATTCAGAGTATAAGATTAGGAGACAAGAACCAGCAGCCCGTAGATGTCAAGAAGCAGAATTTTTTTTTTTAATTATGCATTTAAGGAGCAGTTTCCTCAGGAGAAGCCTAACCTGTTAGCACATAAAGATGTGGCACCTTGGACTGTTCAGAGAACGAAGTTGTGAGTGTGCTTGGCTTATGGATTTGTTCTTTGATCTGCCCCGACTGACCTGAGAGCTTGTTATGGTTTGAATGTGTCCCTCAAAGTCCACGTGGTGAAAACTTAATCCTTCATGCAACAGAGAATTAAGATGGGACCATTAAGAACCGATTAGTTCATGAGGGTTCTGTCCTCATGCTTGGACTAATCATATTATTGAGGGAGTAGTTTCCTGATACAGAGCAAGAGTTTCTCCCCCTTTCTGTCTTGCTCTCTTGCACCCTTTCACCTCCTGCCATGGGATGAACAGCATGAAGGCCCTCACAAGATGCCAGTGCCAGGCACCTTGACTTCCCAGCCACCAGACTGTAAGCCAGTGAAATATCTGTTTATTATAAATTACCCAGTCCCTGTGATGCTGTTATAGAAGCACAAGACAAAGATAGGCCTCTTAGAAGATTCCTATCCTATCTCACACAACGATTCTTGCTTAATTCAAATGACAACTAGAAGTACCCAAGTGCTGAGTGCATTAGAACCTATGGTCTAGCCAACAGGTGAGCCTCCTTGGGATGGTGCGTAAAAGTGGGACAGTTGTGGGGATTGGTGAGGAAGATTTTCTTGAGTGGGGATTGTGAATTGATTTAAATGTATCCTTGAGGTTGTAGAGTCAGAGTGTCTGGGTTAGAAGCACCACAGTGTCTGGTGCATCATTTATGATCCCTGTGACACTGGCCAGGTTTCTTCATCAAATGAAACAAACATATGGGATTAAAATAATACCCATTTACTAAACAAGTAAGTATTCTGTAGGATGAAGCATGCAAAGAAGTTAGCATAATATTTGGGACAGAGTGAGTGCTTCAAAATGGTAGTGAGTACATTTAGGAAGTACCCAAGTTGTGGGTTAGGTGGGGAGGGGGGAACTAAGCTTAAGGAAAGAGCTAAGCACTTAAAAAGTTGTTTTTCTTTTAAAAATTTTTTTTGAAATTATTTATATATTTTTAGATGGCATCTCGCTCTGTTACCCAGGCTGGAGTGCAGTGGTGCAATCATGGCTCACGGCAATCTCGACTTCCTAGGATCAGGTGATCCTCCCACTCAGCCTCCCAAGTATCTGGGACCACAGGCACATGCCACCACACCTGGGTAATTTTTGTGTTTTTTTGTAGAGTCTGGCTTTCACCATGTTGCCCAGGCTGGTCTTAAACTTCTGGGCTCAAGAGATCTACCTGCCTCAGCCTCCCAAAGTGCTAGGATTATAGGCATGAGCCATTGTGCCTGGCTGCAAGTTGTTTTTCTAGCAATGCCTTCCTTCCTGTGCATAGAACCAAATTCAAGCCCTGACTCTTGGCCATAAATACAGGCATGAGCCACCGCACAGGCTTCTTGCCCACTTCTCACCTGCCCAGGCTTCTTGCCCACTTCCCACCAGGAAAGAAGCCAGTGTAGCCACTTCTGAGGCCCTCCTGCAAGAGCTCTGGAAATGCATGGCCCTTGCTTTTGAGTTTCCCAGGATCTCCATCTTTTCCAAAGTGATTATATCTTTACTGTTTATTTTTGTTTTTTTTTAATAATAAAAATGAAACTTTACATCTTTCCAAATTAATTACTCTTCTTTGTCATTGGGTGTGTTTTTACTTGTGTTGAATTTCATCTTACCGATGGGTCATAATTTCTATAACTATTCTCCCCCTGAGGGGTTGCAATATTCTAAATAGAACATATAAGAACATCTTGATGCAGATTATCCTTTTCTTTTTTAAAGCAGCATTATTGAGATATAATTGATATACCACACAGTTCATCCATTTAAAATGTACAATGTAATGGTATTTAATGGAACAAAGCTTTGCAACCATCACCACAACTAATTTTGGTACAGCTTCAGTACCCTAAAAAGAAACTTCATGCCCATCAAGATCCACTTTATTCTCCCCATCCCTCTCAGTCTTAAGCAACCACTGTTTTATTTTCTGACTCTATAGATATCCCTGTTTTTGAAATGTCCTAATAAGTGGAATCACATAATATTCCAAAAGCCCATTTCATTTCATGGTCTTCTGCAAATGCCTTCTTTCACTCAGTAGAATATTTTCTAGGTTCATCCACATCGTAGCGTCAGTACTCCATTTTTTTATATCACCAAATAATATTTCATTGCATGGATATACCACATTTCATTTATCCTTTCGTCAGCTGGTGGCCATTCGGGTTGTTTCCACTTTGTGACCATTATGAATAATAATGCTGCTATGAGCATTTGTGTACCAGTTTTTGTGTAGGTACATGTTTTCATTTCTGTCGGGTCCACTACATAGTCTTAATCAGGCATTGCTCTCTGTGGTTTCACACTTGTTCTTTTTTTGCTGGACTCACGATCTCCCACTCCACCACAAATCTGTTCCTCCTTCAGTGCACACTGCAGGGTCTACCACCTAGCCTGTTGCACAAGCCAGAAACTTACACGTCACCCTTTGCACCTTCCTCGGCTCCTCATCCTCCACCCTGCTACAGCCCATGTCTAGTCCAGTTGCAACTCAAATAGAAGTATTTCCCAGAGAAGCTTTGCTGATAGAATCAATCAGGTCATTCATTCTTTACATGCTTTACCCCTCTGTTTATGTTTGTGGGATTATTTGATTAATATCTGTTTGCTCACAGTTTTAGCTCAAGTGCTTAGCATAGTGCCTGGTTTGTGGCAAGGCACGTAAACTTTTCAAGATTGACTATGCATCCCACTCCCTTTACAACATCTCACAGCTTCCAATACACTAGCATTGTCAGTAAAAGTTTGTTTTTTGAACTGCTTTTATTTCACAATTTTTAAATTGTTACTTATGTGCAGTAAATGCACCCTTTTTAGAGTATCATTCTGTGTCTTTTGACAAATGCATGCAGTCCCGTAATCACTACCACAATTAGGATACAGAATCGTTCATCAACCTTAAAATTTCCCTGTGATCCTTTGCAGTCAATCCCTCCCCCTAATCCTGTCCCCTGAAAACCTCTGACTTTTCTTTCACTTAGCATAATGCATTTGTGATTCACCCATGTTCTTGCAAAAGTTTATCCCCTCTTGTGTTGTAACATTCCATTGTATAGATGAATTATAGTTTGTTTATTTATTCCCCAGTTGAAGAATATTTGCGGTTTTAGTTTTTGGCAATTACGAATAAAGTCAGTATAAATATTCATGTACAGGTTTTTGTGTAAACTAAGTATTTGATTTTACTTGGATAAATACCTAGGAGTGGAACTGTTTGTTCTTATGTTAGGGGTCTCTATCTTTATAAGAAACTATCAAACTGTTTTCCAAAATATTGTATCATTTTGAGTGTGTGGGTCCCACTTGCTCTGCATCCTTGCAACACTTTGTATTGAGAGTTCTTTATCTACTTTCTCTGGATTCAAGTCGTTGATCAGATATGTGATTTGCAAATTGCTTTTTCCAATCTCAGACTTGCTTCATTCTCTTTATAATATCTTTCAAAGAGTAGAAGTTCTTAATTTTGATGAAGACCAAAATTCATCAATTTCTCTCCTTCTCTGGAACATGTTTTTGGTATCGTTTCTAAGAACTCTTTGCCTAAACCAATTCATGGAATTTTTCTCCTGCATTTTCTTCAAGGAATTCTATAGTTTGCGGTTTTATAGTTGGGTCTTTAGGCCATCTTATTTCGCTTTTATTTTGTGAACTTTTTCATCTACTTTAAGCCTCAAATCTAGTCTATTAGTTACCTACCTATGTTGCCTTCCAGACTTCAAACTTCTTTCTTTCTCTCTCTCTCTTCCTTCCTTCCTTCCTTTCTTTCTTCTTTCTTTCTTTCTTTTCTTTCTCTTTCTTTTTTTCTTTCTTTTCTTTCTTTTTTTGACAAGAGTTTCACTCTTGTTACCCAGGCTGGAGTGCAATGGCGCGATCTCGGCTCACTGCAACCTCCGCCTCCTGGGTTCAGGCAATTCTCCTGCCTCAGCCTCCTGAGTAGCTGGGATTACAGGCACGCACCACCATGCCCAGCTAATTTTTTGTATTTTTAGTAGAGACGGGGTTTCACCATGTTGACCAGGATGGTCTCGATCTCTTGACCTCATGATCCACCCGCCTCGGCCTCCCAAAGTGCTGGGATTACAGGCTTGAGCAACCGCGCCTGGCTCTTTTTTCTTTTCTTTTCTTTCTTTCTCTCTCTCTCTCTCTTTCTTCTTTTTCTTTCTTTCTTTATTTCTTTTGAGATGGAGTTTCGCTCTTGTTGCCCAGGCGGGAGCACAATGGCATGATCCTGACTCACTGCAACCTCCATCTCCCAAGTTCAAGCGATTCTCCTGCCTCAGCCTCCTGAGTAGCTAGGATTACAGGTTTGCACCACCACACCTGGCTAATTTTGTATTTTTAGTAGAGATATGGTTTGTCCATATTGGTCAGGCTGGTCTCGAACTTTCGACCTCAGGTGATCCACCCTCCTTGGCCTCCCAAAGTGCTGGGATTACAGGCATGAGCCACCGCGCCTGGCCCTTCCAAGCTCTTTGAGGGAAGAGATTGTGTTTTATCACATAAGCCCTAGAGTAAGCATTGCCTTACATTTTGAGCCTACACACCTCAATTGCTCCCATAGTCCCAGCCTGTGTTCATGTTCCTATTTTCTACAACACCCAGCGTCACACCTCTCACTTTAGATACAGTACAGATGTTACTGAAAAGAAATGAGACCTTAGAAAGGCTTTAGGGCTCTGTATCCCATTGAGAATTAAGACAAATTAGCATAACTAGGAAACATCATTTGTGGTCATGCAAAGGCACTGACTGTATGAGGCACACTTCCCATGTGCAGACACTTGAACAACCCCTGCTAGCTCAGACCTCCAGAAAGTTCTTTTATTCTACGTCGCCTTTTTTTTTTTTTTGAGACAGAGTCTCGCTCAGTCGCCCAGGCTGGAGTGCAGTGGTGTGATCTCAGTTCACTGCAAGCTCCAATCCCTGTGCTCAAGCCATTCTCCTGCCTCAGCCTCCTAGGTAGCTGGGATTATAGGCACACGCCACCACGCCTGGCTAATTTTTGTATTTTTAATAGAGGTGGGGTTTCACCATGTTGGCCAGGCTGGTCTTGAACTCCTGACCTCAGGTGATCTGCCCTCCTCAGCTTTCCAAAGTGCTGGGATTACAGGCATGAGCCAGCGCGCCTGGCCTCTATGTTGCCTTCTTATAACAGTGTTTATCGATTACCTGGAAAACATGACTGATGAGTTATGTGATTAACCAAAGTGCTCTGATAGTGTATTTTAAAAATCTGAAACCACATTCAGGTAGAAGGTAGCAGTGGAAACAGGAGTCATGTGTGAGCTCCAAAAATGGAAAGACAATTTTCTATCCTCAGTCAGAGTAGGGCCAGATATGAAAAGACAAGGGCCGTTTTTTCAGGAGCAATTTTTTCCTACTTGCATTTGTTTCTTCCCAATATGGATGAGTTTTCATGGAACATCCACTTCCTGGCTGCTTGGAGAGAAGGGAAGGGGGCTTTCTCCATTCAAGGGTTTCAGATTCAGAGATTCAAAGAAAAGCCCATTCTCTCTGGAAGCTGACTTCCTGACCTGTTTTCAGAACATTTTACAGGGGTTATTCCTGGGTCAGCCACAGAGAAAGAGAGGCATCCTTGGACAGCAAAGCTACAGATCCGGAAGCCTTTGGCTATCTTTAGAGAAGGGCAGAGAGCTCTTCACTTCTCCAAGTGTGTTAGGAGATGCTTTCTCGTGCCTCTGCTTGGGCAAAGAAAAAAATGGCCAAAGAAGGACAAATCTATTTCTTACCACTGGAAAGGCCTTTTAACACTTTTTTCTAGTAAGAGATGGGGTTTTGCTATGTTGCCCAGGTTGGAGTGAGTGGCTAGTCACACGCACGCTCCCACTACTGATCAGCATGGGATTTTTGTCTCACTCCACTTCTGATATGGGCTGGTTTACCCCTCCTTTGGCAGCTTGGTAGTCCCTCCTTTCTGGAGTTCACCATATTGATGCTGAGCTTAGTATGGATATCCATTCAGCACAGTGGACTACAGCCCAGAACTCCTGGGCTCAAGCCACTTTCCCACTTCATCCTTCTGTGTAGCCAGGACTGCAGGACTACAGTTGGGCGCCACCACACCCAGCTGGAAAGAGCTGAAAGAACTTCAAAGCTTTGACAGAACATTTTTTTTTTGATGGAGTCTCACTCTATTTCCCAAAATGCAGGGCAGTGGCGCCATCTCAGCTCACTGCAACCTCCATCTCCGGGTTCAAGCGATTCTCCTGTCTTAGCCTCCTGAGTAGCTGGGATTACAGGTATGTGGCACCACATCTGGCTAATTTTTGTATTTTTAGTAGAGACGGTCTTTCACCATGTTGGCTGGGCTGGTCTCGAACTCCTGACCTCAAACAATCGGCCCGCCTCAGCCTCCCAAAGTGCTGGTCTTACAGGTGTAAACCATTGTGCCCTTTCTTTGATGGAACATTTTGTCCCAGAATGAAAAGGATCCATTTATATACTGTTGTTTTAATTACAAAAATTGAGAAATGATGAGCATAAAGCTTAGTGATTTGAACTGAGGCATCTTCTGGCAGCCAGAACAGACTCATTAGAATAAACTTTATGAACTTGGCATTTTGTATTGTTCAAAAATAACCAATTACAGAAAAGAGAAATGAGATGTCAGGATTTTAATTTTAATTTTAAAGTATATATAGGTGTTATATCGAACTGAACACAGAAAGTAAACACCAGAACAAAAGTATGCCAAATTGCAGGGTTTATTGCCGGCGACCACGGAGGACTCACGTCTCTCCAACCTGTGGCCCCGTAAAAGAGGGTGACAAGACCTTTTATACTTGTAAAATCACCTTGGGGGTGAGGGGAGAGGATGGGGTGAGGGGCTTCAGACATTCCGTGGGCCAGTGGATTCAAATCACCTTCTGGGCAGAGAGGAGGGTGAGGGGGTTCCGGACATTTCGAGGGCCAGGGGACTATTTGACATTCTGATTGTTATTTAAGGGGTTCACAGATGCTGAGATTAACATTCGTTTACACATCGTCTGGGTAGGGGTGGGATCCATAGATTTTTATTTACTTGGCGCCAGGATGGAATTATCTGGGGGTGCTTACTCTGGTAAACAAAGGCCAGCAATTCTGGCATTTACAGATAAGAGAAGGTATGCAGCTTTCCCTCAGTTTGCATCCTGCAAGTGATCTAGCAATTTACAAAAGCCAAGGTTAGCAGTCATTGTGAGGAGAATGGAAACAGCTTTGTTCTTTAAAAAATGGCATTGTACAGGTTCTAACTCTAGGCCAGCTATATCACATAGGGATGAAGATTTACCAGGCAAATGGAGAGAAAAAAAAAAGCAGGAGTTGCAATCCTAGTCTTTGATAAAACAGACTTTAAACCAAAAAAGATCAAAAGAGACAAAGAAGGGCATTACATAATGGCAAAGGGATCAATGCAACAAGAAGAGCTAACGATCCTAAATACATATGCACCGAATGCAGGAGCACCCAGTCATAAAGCAAGTTCTCAATGACCTACAAAGAGACTTAGACTCCCACACAATAACAGTGGGAGACTTTAACACTCTACTGTCAATATTAGATCAACGAGACAGAAAATTAACAAGGATATCCAGAATTTGAATTCAGATCTGGACCAAGCAGACCTAATACATCTACAGAACTCACCACCACAAATCCACAGCATATACATTCTTCTCGGCAGCACATCACACTTATTCTAAAATTGACCAGATAATTGGAAGTTAAAACACTCCTCAGCTAATGCAAAAGAATGGAAATCATAACAGTCTCTCAGATCAGAGTGCAATCAAATTAGAACTCAGGATTAAGAAATTCACTCAAAACCACACAACCACATGGAAACTGAACAACCAGCTCCTGAATGACTACTGGATAAATAATGAAATGAGGCAGAAATAAAGATATTCTTCGAAACCAATGAGAACGAAGACATAATGTACCAGGATCTCTGGAACACATTAAAGCAGTGTCTAGAGGGAAATCTAGTGATTAATAATCAAATTTACCTCATACTTCAAAGGAACAGCCTAATTTGGGCAGTGTTTTAAAAAATTAATTTTTTAATTGACAAATAATAGTTGCATATATTTATGACACACAATATGATGTTTGAAAATGTGTACCTGTGGAATGGCTAAATCAAGCTAATTGATATATGCGTTACCTCACATAGCACTTTTGTGGGACAAGAACTTAAAATCTACTCTTGTCGTAATTTTCAAGTATATAATATATTGTTATTAACTGTAGTCCCCGTGTTGTACAAGAGATCTCTTGAACTCATTCCTCCTACCTAACCTCCTAGTTAAGATTTCATCTTGATTCTTTTATTTTCAACTTTTATTTTAGACACAGGGGCACGTGCAGATTTGCTACATGGGAATATTGTGTGATGCTAAGGTTTAGAGTGTGGATCCCATTACCCAGGTGGTGAGCTTAGTATCCGATAGGTAGTTTTCTAACCCACCTTCCCAACCTTCTTATAGTCCACGTACTTATGTCCATGTGTGCTCAAAGTTTAGTTCCCACTTAGAAATGAGAACATGCTGTATTTGGTTTTCTGCTCCTGTTAACTTGCTTAGGATGCTGGCCTCCAGCTCCACCCACGTTGCTGCAAACCATATGATGTCATTCTTTCTATGGCTGCATAGTATTCTATGGTGTGTATGGACCACAGTTTCTTGATCTAATCTACCATTGCTGGGTTGATTCCCTGTCTTTGCTATCGTGAATAGCACAGTGATGCACATTTCATGCATGTGTCTTTTGGTAGAATTACATCGGCAAAGACCCTTATTCCAAACAAATATTCCAAAGATCCTTATTCCAAATACAGTCACATTCTGAGGTTCCAGGTAGACATCTTTTGGGAGACACTATTTTGACCCACTGCATATGCACTGATACGTAAAGGCTCAAAACTAAAAACGGCCACTTGCTGTAAAAGAAGAGTTCAAAATCACAACTCCTGGCTTGCTTGCTCTTAATCTTCCTCCAGGCATGCCCTGAGGACAGTTACTCAGTTTCCCTGGAGTGACTGTCTCCACAGGAAACTTAAGACCAGCACTTATTATACTCACCCTCCTAACAAACAATAGAATGAAGAGAATGAGAGTACATTGAAAAGGAAGTAAATTGGTACAATAATAAGATTTCTAGGCCATTTTTTCAATATTCAGAGGTTTCTCAAGGTTGTGAGGGGAGAAAGGGATAATATGATACAGGTGGATTGCTTTTCCTTTCAGCTAAGGTGCACCTAACTGATCTCTCATCTCATACTTTTGCATTTTACAAGAGATAATCTCCTTGCAAATAAGGTGACACTTGAGCAGATTGCGGTGGAATCTCCCCGGGGGCATTCAGAGGGCTTGGAGCCTTGCCAAGCTTAAGGAAGATGCAGGTGATTTCCCATGGAGGTCTCAGAGAGGGCAGGTTTCCCAGGCATTGTCTGACTGTGGTCTTGTGAATTAGGGCAACGGTGACTGACAAATCCTGGCAATGAATGCTTCATTCATTCACAGACCAGCTCTGCCATTGACCTGAGACCCCGGGATGTGGGGAAAGGTTCCCAAACTTGGCTGATCATCAGAATTATCTGGAGGCGTTTATATTTTGTTGTAAGATTCAACTTCCCAGCTCCTAACCCAGACCTACAAAATCAAAGCCTCTTTATGGACTGAAGCCTGAGCTTTGGAGTTAAACTTGGGTCCAGATCTTAGCTCTTCCTCCACGTCTCCCTTTGAGCTTGGACAAGCCAGGCAGGCTCTCATCTGTGTATGGAGAGGAACAATATCCATCCCTGTGGCTTGTGAGGATCATAGGTCACGTGTGTGCAAGTGGAAGCCATTGGATTGAAAAAATGGTTAATAAATCCGAGCAATTTACTCTGTGTTATCTGAAGCACTTTGTTTTTATGTAAAGGAGGGGCGTAATAACTTTTTTCTTTTTTTTCAACAGGAGAAGCCAGCTGACCCTTGCTCTTATCTGATGGGATTGTAACTGGCATCAACATTTTCTAGCTTTTCATTAAGAAGCTATGTTTTAAGACAATAGCAGGAACGAAAGAACCTATTCTTTTTGTGCCAGCATCCGTCCAGCTTAGAACAAAATGTTATTCATGGCCAGGCTCCACCTTGCTGAGAAAGCCTGGTATTTGTCTTTGCAGACAGTCCTTTTGACATCCTCAGAAAGCCTTGTGGAGACCCCAGAGAGCTTAACTACCTTAGGAGGAAGGTGGCATTTGGACTTGATGGGAGGGGGCTACCCACCTGTCAGCGGGCCTCTCCCAGTCTTGGTTTGCCCTTCCCAGATTCAACAAAATAATCTGCCTAGAGTGTTTAGCCCAGCACCTGGCACTTGGAGACCTGCAAAGAATGTTCACGGCTGCTGCCATCAGACCACACTCTTCTTAGCATCTGGACTCAGATACCTGGGCGTCTGAATATGGCTAGCTCCGGGGCTAGAAGCTGCTGAGGCTCTGCCCTGCCTCCAGCCCCTTCGGGATACTCTGCGAGGGCCCACAGCTAACATATGCTAGGGGCAAAGCAGGAACAGCCTCTGCTCTGAAGGGGAGGCTTCCCAAGCCAACTTTTTTCTTTTTATCTGATGGGAAGGGCTGACTTAAGAGCCAGCAGCAGGGGACAGCACAAATAAATACAGAAAAATCTCTTCAGGAGGTGCGATTGTGCTCAGCTCAATGGCAAGCCCTGGAGAGCAGTTTTATCCAGTGGAGATTGGAAAGTAAAATAAATGTGGTCCTATTACCCACCCTTCCGCAGAGCCGACTCGCTACAGCCTATCCCTGAGCTCTGCCGGAGTAGAAGGAACGTGTGTTTCAGAGTCCTGGTCTCCTGTGGGGAAGAAGGTGCAGAAGTGGGTTCTTAGGGCTGAGATTCCCTGAAGCTTTGGGTGCTATTTTCCCACCCACCCTGGCTTTCTAAGACGCTGCCAGCTCCAAGTCCCCGCCCTTCCCAGTGCTTTCTCGCCCACAGTGGGCCACCTCCAGCAGGGTGGGACTGACAGAAACACCCCAGCAATGAGCTGGGGTTAGAGTAGCCTTCTTCCAGCAATGGGCAAGAGGGGCTGGGGAGGACTGGTGCCTCTCTCCCGCTAACGAAATGTCCCCCAATACTCTCAGGACCAGCAGCTCAGCTTTTACAGCCTTTGGTTCCTTCGAAGTGAGTCATACCATTGAAAAGATCTTTCTGGAACAAACACCACCTTTCATGGGAACAAGTCTTAGCTCTTCCACAGGGAGTGTTTCTAAGCATCCCTGGAGGAGACTACAACAATCCTCCTCACCCAGGAAACCCTCGGAGCAGCTAAGCCCCAACCTGGAACCTTTGGATGCTTCATTTGAGGAGTCTGCCATGCTGGATGGCCACAGTGCTGTGGGGACACCTGTGCCCCTCTCTGCATAATACTTGCCCATCAGCAGAGTTAAGGACTGGAGAGACCGGGGTTTGAATCTCAGTCCCACCACTCAGAGACAGTCTCTCTGGGTCTGTTTGGAAGCAACCTAAGGAATATATGAAAGAAACCATAGAACATGCTTAGTTCAGGGCTGGGCAAACAGAACGTACGACGTGAGAGCTACTTCATTAATAAAAGCCATTTTTGTATGATGCAGGCTCTTGTTCTGCAGAAATTCTCATGATAATCTTTTAAGGTAGGTATCATTATTATTCCTCTTTTCTGGACATGGAAGTTGAGACTTAAGGAAGTTAAACAAATTGTTAGTCATACAGACAGCTACTGGTGGAGCTGGAACTCAAACGCAGGCAGGCTGATGCTATACCCTGCACTCGGCTCTGAGTAATACTTCTGGTTATTATGGCTAGTAATTAGCACATCTTCAGGGATCTCTATCTTAGACTATGCTTGGGTGGAGAGAGTGCTGTTATTGACGGATATAAAAGAGGTTGTGGGCTTATTTTAAGCCTGGAGTATTTATATAAAGACTAGAAGGAGAATCCATGAGGAAGGCCCTGTGAAAACAAACAAAATGACTAGAGGAAGGGGTAAAAAGCCCAGAATGAAAACGAAATCATTCTCAAATGATTATTTAAAATAATACTAGTCCTTATTCTACCACCTAAGCGCTCAGGTGCTATAACTTGGCAACAGTCTTCTGATGGATATTATTATCTTGTCCATTCTGCAGATGAACAAACTGAGGCTGAAGGGAGGTTAATGGGCCCCAAGACACACAGCTGGCGAGTAACCCCCAAACTGTTCATAAATATGCCTTGGTGGTAGTGTTGGGGCTCATGACCAGACTGCAGGGCTCTGGCCAGTCTCATACTAAGAACCCACTTGGTGCAGTGCACCCTGAGAGATTGAGTACATGGCACACAGTCCCTGCACTAAGACAGTCACAGGGAGTGGGATGTGGAAGATAACAGCGTGGGATCTGAAGGGGGCAGACCTGGACAGTTCTAGCTCTGCTGCTCACTGGCTGAGTGATTGGGCATGTTTGATTAGATTCTGAGCTTTGGTTTCCTATCGGTATAGTGGAGCTATAATTGTCTACTTTGAAAGGCTGTCATGAGCAATATGGTCATGCAAAGCTAGGGTGCCTGGCACTCAGCACAGAGATCTCACTACTGTTCAGCTGAAGAGCAGAAACCTATGCAGCTAGCACTAGGAGGCAATGCTTGCTAAGTACCGAGTTTGAGGTTCAACTAGAGGCACGCAAAGAATCACACACAGGTTGGGCTGGGCCCATTAAGACGGGCTCCTAGAAAGGGTGTGAACTTGGGCTTGCCTTTCATTTGGAACAAATGGAGCCCATGGGAAATTCACATGGGTAACTCCAAAGAGCTGATGGATAACTGTTTTTAAAGAGTCAACGTTGGCCATTAATTCCTTTCCCCAGGGTCAGGTCCTCTATGCTCCGCCACCTCCTTGAAGCATCGTACAGAAGAAATGCCTTTGATAAAGCTGCCTGGGAGAGAGCAAGCATGGGATGTTCTGGGAGCTTGCAGTGGTTTGGCGAGATCTGAAGGCAGGGCATGAGAGGCAGTTGAGCAGTGGGTGGGGCAAGATCCTTTCACTCCCAGCAAAGATTAGCTGACTAAAGTCTAGCAACTGAAGTGAGGCAGGGGTCAACTTCCACTGAAGAGGTGGCCACCAGAGCCAAATGCCACAGAGAGTTCATAAGGACTGGAGATGACCCCTAGCTCTGGTAATTATGGACCACAGCGGGGACACTCTCCCACGGTGAGAAGAACACAGACCTTGAGCTGAGCTCTCCTGACCTGTTTTCCATGGTGGTGAACTAAACATGCCTACCGTCTTGACAATAACCTGTATCCCACTTCCAGGGGAGGGTCATGTGAATACCAGTGTGACTGGGTCCTGGACAGGCTCAGCAGACACAGAGCAAAAGGCAGGCTGTGGTTGGAGTGGACCAGCTTGGACATAGATCCTTGTGTCTTCTGGCAACCCTAAAATCTTGGCAGTGAAGGTAACAAGGAAGTTAGTATCCACAGTTTCTTCATGTAAAGTTTGATAATGCAGAGGATGCCCAAAATTGGAAGGATGCTTTTCTCCTACTGCATTCTAGCTTCCTACTAAAAAATGGCCCATTCACAGTGGCTCAGAGCTTCAAACCTCCTCAAACCCCCAGCTCTGTCCAAATGATGGGACTACACCTGCCGTGTCACAAATCAAATCAAGCATCCATGACACAGCACAGTGTAACGTCTCTACTAACCATTTCTTTCCTTTAGTCGCTTGGTCAACGTGGTCTAGGCTGTTGCATGCACAGTCCTGGAATATCCCGCTGTTATTTGTTGCATTTTCCCACCTACATGACAAAAATGCATTCCTACAGCTTTGGGCTCGTTCTGATGTTGTTTTGGTTATTGGAAGTTGCGTTGGTGCTTTCTAAAATGAGGTCAACCTTCCAAGGGAACCAGAGAAGGCGAAATGAAACAGGAATGGAGGCGTGTACGAAGAAAGCACACAACTTTATTCACGAAGTTGTGAGGATGACAGTGATGCAGAGTATATGACAAAGGAGTGCAGTGAGTGCTGCTTGCAACAGGAGCGGGGAGCAGGTCAGGGTCACAGGCACAGCAGCGTGGAGCTGGCAGGGCCACCTTCTCCTCTGCACACAAGCACGTGGCACTCGGCGTGCCAACACACACCTGCTCAGTTTCATGGGGAACACAACACAGCTTTTCAAAGGGAATTCTTCTAAATATTTGCTTTCATATTTCCGAAAAGGGAGGGAGGGCAGGAAGAACTATACGCCTTCCAACATTTGAAAATATTCCATAAACCCAACTTAAAAATGAAAGAGCTCAGAGAGCTTCAATGCAGAGCTGTCAGCAACTCACAGGAACCACACACATCATTGGACAAGTCTGTACATAAAACCCCAAAAGAACAAGAGTTTTGCGGACCATGGTTTCCTCTGCTGTAAAGAAACATACGCACACATGATCAGTAAGCAGCTCACATCTTCCTGAATGTCAAGATCATCTCCGTCCACCTTTGGTCACTGGGGTCAGGAAGTGACTCATGGGAACTGGACTCTTTGGAGAAACACTTTGGGGAAGAATTTTATTGAATAACAACTGCCACTCAATTATACTAAGCTTCAGAAATTGTTGGATTTGTTTAATTTTGCTGTGTATGTATTCATTGCTTAGAACGTTTCTTTCGGCTTAAACTGACCATTTCCCCCTTTCTTTTTGAGTTTTGCATGATTAAACTTGCCCAAATAAAAACATAACAATCCATATGCAAAGCGTATCTGTCACCACCTCCCACTGCTTCCTGGGCAGCAAACAGAAAAATAAACAGTTATTATTATTATTTTTTGTATTTTAAAAATGCCAAAGTGAAGGTTTCTCTTTCTCCTATCACAACATAGATGAATAGTTCCCTTAAAGTACATCATTGCTATAAGCTGGTATCACTGCAAATCTCAAGTCCCAAGTAATCTCTTTTTCTGGATAGAAAGTTCTTCAACAGGGAGCACAAAAGAGCAAGCTTTGGGGCATACCGACAAACACTTCATTGGTTAGAAGAGAGTAATTTTAAAAATCAAATAAAATCGAGGCTGGCATAAGGAGTACAGATGAAATAGCTACCAGAAACACAGAAGAGGGATTAAGAACTGAGACTGCTTCAGAGGACACAGGAGGGTTGACGAGACAGTCCATTTTCCTTCCACCATCTTTCAAGACAGTCAGGAAAAGGGTTCTGTGAGCACCCACCTGTCCCTTTGATACATGGGAGGATGCCAAGACCAAGTTAGCTTTAAATCATTTTTAGAAAGACTTATCTAGTCAAAAGTTTGAATTTTTCAAACTTGCAAAAGCATATGTATTTGATATAATCATCTGAGAAGCAATTCTAGAAAAAAATGTTTGCTTCGATATCTAAATAAATTCAGTGAAACTTTTAGAAACATTATCAGCTAGACATCTCTGAGTTAGAGTGGACTGATAGACCAGACTGGGATGGAGAGGGTCAGAAATGAAAATGAACTGCTCCAGCCTCTGCCTCAGAAGAGGAAACTCAGCTTGGAGATGACAGAATTGGGTAGCGGAGTAGATGCTAGAGCCCATGACAGATAGAAAACTACCCCATTAAAAACAAAAAACTAACTCTAGTTGATCTCTTTGAGGTTTTGAAGAACAGGCAGTTTATGTGAAGTTATTGAAGAAGTCATATTAAGAACATTTCATAACTAACCCCAAACCAAAATGTAGATGCATAGCTAGCTGTGCAAGTTTCCAAAGGCTCTTCCTATCTCCTAATAAGTCACACAGAAAGACTATATGATAGCCTGGATTTTCTTGAAGACCTTTTATAAGAGGAACTGATTTTCATATCATCATAGAGGCCTCTTTTACTTCATGCCATCAGTATGCATGTAAGAGTCCCAAGGAAGTAAAATGTTCCAAAATGTAGCCCTTTACATATGCACCAGAGAAGCCTGCCATATATATAATTCCCCTCCTAGGGTGAACAAGCTCCATTAGTTTGAGTGCGTTAATAACTGGAATTTTCATGTGTAGTACAGGGTGGGGTGAAAGCAGACAATACCCATCTCATGTGCTGTGACCAGGAAGGACACTTTGAGGACAAGCATGCTGAGCCCAGTTTAACCAAATGGACAGGCATTATAGCCCACATAATTTGTTCTGGCAGTTAGCAGGTACCAGGTTGCCCCATGACCCATCCCTCCGGCTAGAGCCTTCTGCCGGGAAATGAAGTAGGGGTCGCACTCTGCATTACAGTTTCCAGTGACCCCTCCCCAGAGCAGAGCACTACTCTGCTTGCACACAGGAGGCTACTGGTGCTTTCTGGCAATGCATTTCTGCAAGGTGCAGTTTAAATGAACTCATATAGTATTTGATATGGAAAGGAACTTTTCTCCTCAAGTTGGATGCAGAACTGAGTTTAAAAGATACAAGAAAAGCAGGGTTTCATTAGTGGGAGCTGACTTAGGGTTCAGTTCTTTATCATTGCAATCTTAGGCAGGCCCCTTAACTCCTAGTTTCTGTAAAATAAGGAAGGGGGTTGTCCCAGTTTTCAGTCTAATGTCCCCATTCTATGACAGACCCATATCTTCTTTATGAAGACCAAGGAAGAGGAATTTTAGTAAAACTACCTGATTATGCCCATGTTTCCCAAATACCTTAATTACTCTTATATTGACATTTGATCTGCACATGTGTGGGTGATAATTCATTAATCAATGTAAAACATGGAGGCCCTTTATTAGCTCCATAATGAAAAATAATCTCTCCACCAGCCAAGTGCTGGGACCCATGTGGCCACCATTGTTACTGACAGGTAAGAAAACATGAAATGCACCATCCTCTCTGTCCCCACACTTTCCAGAGTAAAGCAAGGATGAGGACGCCCAGGCACTGTGCCAAGGCTACTAGTGCAGGAGGGCACGGAAAAAGAGGATGAGAGAGATGGGACAGAAAAAGCATGGAATAAGCAAAAGGCCACTGAGACACCGAAGGCCAAACTGCAAACTGCAGTCTGCCTTTCAGCCAAGCAAAAGCTGGTCTCATCTGCTTATGGCCACCCTGTCAGAGCCATTTGCTAAAGATGTGAATAGGTCCAACACACACACACACACACACACACACACACACACACACACACACACACGAGAACAGTCCTCAAATATTCAGTGCATAGCACTGAAAGGCTAGGACAATTTGTATTCCTTCAGTAAGAGCACAGGAGGATGCTGTAAAACAGTGACGGTGTTCATTCCAGCCCCAAATGACAGCAGTGGGCCATGTATCAGAGGCTGCAATGCAGACTCAAAAACTATCCTACTTGCTCCTTTACCACCTGTGTCAGAGAGATAGCTTGTAAGCCTAATACCTGGTGCCAGCAGGAAGGACTTCAGAGCTTTTGTTCTCAGTGGCATATGAAGGTAAATTCAAATTCTTTCTTCTTTGGCTTTAAAACAGAGCTTAAATTATTAAGCAGAGCCCCAAAGCATGATAATAAATATGACTTAACCTCCTGGGTGTGGAGTTACACAAACTCTCCCTCATCTAACTCACATAGGGAATCATGATGTGGTTTTATATGCACACATGTGTTGGTGAAATCCTAGGCTTAAATTTAAATACAGTGTTGCAGAGTCTGAGGGCTCTTTTTTTTTTTTTTTTTTTTTTTGTCTGAGGGCTCTTGTGAGATGCTCTGACCTCCATATCCCGCCTCGTCCTTCCTCGATCCTGTTATGAGCTACATCAGCACCAACACCTTTCCATGGAGGAAGTGATGTTGGGGGCGCAGTTTAGCCTCACTCTTGATCTTGAGTCACATATACTTGGTGAAAATGTCTTTAGAAGCTGCAACACTGTGGGACAAACATTCGAGTAGAAATTAGAAAGCACATGCGCACTCACAAAATTACTCTGAGTGAGTGAAACCAACATGCATACATACACTCATGAAGTCAACAGAGCTAGGCAAGAAGAAAGCTGAAAAGGCCAAATTAAATCTGTTTAAGGGAGTCTACTTTGGAGTTGCAGAGATTTAAAAGAGAAAAACACATCTTTCCTTAGCCTATTACTGAAAGAAACCTTAAAAACCAACAGCATGGGCTTGATCTGATTCATAGGCTGCCAGAGAGACAGCAGAGGACAATGATGGAAGGACTGGAGTCAGTAGGACATGGGACTTTTTTTTTTGCCAACAGTGATATGGCCCCTGGGCAAAATAACCTAATAGCATGCCACTGAGCCAATCTGTAGGCAATTTCTGTTTTTCCTTTCCTTGCAAAAGTGGAGCTCGAGACAGCTCCTGTGCTAGGTGGAAACCAGAAACCAGGCTCGCTATGGGAAGCAGAAAGTTAAGGGAAGGTTCCCTTTCATTCCTGTTCCTCCTCTTTTGCTTTAAAACAGTTTTTAAATATTCTAATAGCTAAGTCATTTGCCAACCAGGTCCCAGCAAACGGCAGAGAACAAGGAGCTTATTAAGAATTAATTTTGCTGTTATTCACCCCATGCAAACAGAGCTGCCCTGTTCCCTGACCTGCCCTGTTCACCTGCCAGAGCGCTGGTGAAGCAACATGACGCCAGTCAAGAAAGGTGGCTGTGAAATCACTGCTGTCACATGGACAGACCCCTCACTCTTCCTTCTTAGCCACAGCGCTACACAATAAATATATTTATACTTTGAAATTATGATAACCGATCTTTCCCATGTGGCATCCTAAGGGCACTTGCTGGCTCTTATCCGTACAGTCAGCACTACTGTTGGAGAACAGGTAGAGGAAAACAGAAGAAGAAAACAACGCAGCTCCTGTTGTATACATAAGGTCATGTGAAAAGGTCACATGTGGGCACTACTCTGTGTTCTGGAACCCAGAAGTTTCTACCCCATGCTTCTTGGCAAGTGTTACTCTTGGCTGGCCTGATGTTGGACTCATGGGTGTTTTAACCAGACTTTCTCTTTTTGGTATTGCTGAGCAATGATAGCTTGCAAATTCTCCAATTGAGTTTGGGCCTCAATATGACATCCTCTGGGGTAACGCCACGGTCAGTGCTTTCTCTAATTGCCATTCAGAGTGGGAACTTAGAAGAGTTTTGCTTTTTTCTTCATGTCGTTGCGTCTCCAAAGAGGTAACTTGTCAAACTCCTGTATGGACATTCCAAAGATTTCCCGAAACACTTCAGGGGCTAAGTGGCGCTGGGAAGAGGAAAAAAAAGAGCAGCTGTCAGTCCTGATGGCCACATGAATGGCCTTGAGAGTTGTTCTATAGTTTATATGAAGACTCTTTCTGAAAAACAAGGCAGGAAGATGGGACAGGAGCCAATCTCTGATGCTTGTGCCGTCAGTATTCCTACCTGGACAGGCCAGGTGAGGAGCCCTTCCCATCAGATAAAAGAGCTGGCAGAGTATCCGTGGGGATTGTAATAATAACACTGACTGGTGATGGGACACAGAGAGTTGATTTATTACGTTAGAGACAACTCCACTCCAGGTCCTCGGAATGTTGAAAAGATGCAGGGAAAATGGACTATCACAATAGAAAGCCAAAGAAAATGACCTCCAGCGTGGTCCCTGGGGAGTCCCGGGGCTTCCTCCTGGCTGAGGAATAGGAGGTAAGGTAGATGCCTCTTCTACTGAGAAGACTTCCCATCTGTCATTCCCCTCTAGAAAGCTCCCCCAAGATCCTGGAGCCTTTATTCTCTGTGCCAGCCTGGACTTTATGCCAAGGTACTGCCTTTTGTCAGGAAAAAGTACTCACTCTTTCTGAGACTGGCAGCCAAGGTTTTTCTTAATTAAAATCATTGGGATGGAAAACTATAATACAAAGATTAGTCTTCCATGTCTAAGGAGATCTTGGTATGTGTACCCAGATAACCCTTCAACAAGGAATGTGGAAACAGTCAAGAAAGAAATTCGTCCAGTATAAATCTCTCTTCTGAGAGCTGTTCCTGCTCCCACAGCCTCCCATGAACTTAACCCCAACTTAGGGAAGATAAGGATCTGAGAATATCTCAAGAGAAATAGAGATTCCCATTCTGTATCACTAGCCACAATTATAGCGACATGAAGTTTCAAAGAAAATGACTGAGGTCATTCTGTGTCTCCTGGGTCATTCTTCTTTTTTCTTTTTCTTTTTTTTTTAGATGGAGTTGGGCTCTATTGCCCAGGCTGAAGTGCAGAGGTGTGATCTTGGCTCACTGCCTCCTGGATTCAAGCAATTCTCTTACCTCAGCCTCCTGAGTAGCTGGGACCACAGGCACCCACCACCATGCCCAGCTAATTTTTATATTTTTAGTAGAGACAGGATTTCACCATGTTGGCCAGGCTGGTCTCGACCACAAGTGATCTGTCCACCTTGGCCTTCCAAAGTGTTAGGGTTAGGGGTGGGAGCCACTGTGCCCACCTGCTGGGTCATTCTTCTGGATATTACCAGGCATTTTTATGCTGATCTAAGTGTAAACCTGCATTTTTTTTCCCCAAAGTTACTTCTTAGTTCTACCTATGACATGAGGGTGACTTTTTTGATTTTTTTTTTCACTGAAGAAATAAAACGTTGCTTAGGGGAGAGCTGGGGTATTGCACGGGGATCTGCGGCTGCGACCGGACTCTCCTGTTTTGTTTTACCTCCAGCCTGGTTCTGTCCACCTCTCTCAGGATTTTGTTTCGCCCTCTGTTGGTCACCATGAGCATTTCATATGGAAATATCTGAGAAGAAAGAAAACACGACTTCTAGAACACCACAGTCCATTTTATTAACAAGCAGAATCCACCTCAAATGCAGCACTCCCAGGACAGAGCTTCCAAGAGACTACCATGACAGAATCTGAGTGACGGGTCTTCCTCCCGCAAGGCCAGTGGAAGCTCCAGTTTCCAGGGGACAGGGACAGAGTCTTAGACATCTCAACTCTCCACTGGGGTCACTGAATTTTAGAAGGGCTTCGTTGAGTGGCAGAACATTAACTTACTATGTACTGGGATGAAGGTAAACATTAGAAGATAATGGAAATTACAGGCACATTTTTTGTTGTTGTTGTTTTTTGTTTTTGAGACAGGGTCTCGCTCTGTTGCCCAGGCTGGATGCAGTGATATAATCACAACTCACTGCAGTCTCGACCTCCTGGGCCTAGGTGATCCTCCTACCTCAGCCTTCTGCGTAGCTGGGACTATAGGTACATGTCGTCTTGCCCAGCAATTTTTTTGTAGTTTTAGTAGAGATGGGATTTTGCCATGTTCCTCAGGCTGGTCTTGAATTCCTCAACTCAAGCAATCCACCTGCCTTGGCCTTCCAAAGTGCTGGGATTACAGCATGAGCCACTGTGCCCAGCCAAGGTGTTACTCAATGCTGTCATAGGGTAGGGCGCCTCTTTGCTGGAGTTAACCATCTTGTTCCATGACTAGCTCATGGATCCATGGGGTTAGGCAGGCCCAGAAGCAATGCTCTGGCAACTGACATACTGAAATAAGCCCTGGTTATGGTCATCCGGGAGTGCAAGCCCTTGTACAGCTCTGAAGGAACAGGGTGTTCTGGAGCTAGGGTGGCCAGGCATCCCAGTGTGCCCAGGACTGAGGTTCTTGAAATGCAGGGCTTTCAGTGCTGAAACAGGGAAAGTTCTGGCAAACATGGACATGTTGGTCACCCTACATGGAGTAGTCTGTGCCTGCTCCTCTCAACACTGAATATGCTCTGCAATGCACATGGCAGAGGCCAAGGAAAATACCTCAGTCATAGGGAGAGAGGGACTGGTGCCTCACTGTGAACACAGCACCATGCCCTGTAAGGGTTGAGCCTGCTGACCTGATGTGGGCAAGGTGCATATTCATGATATGGCTCGCCAGAACACACCAGCCTGTAACACTTTGAGAATGATGAAGAGATGGAATATCAAATCTGTTTAGGGTGTTACGTCATTCCCATATGAGAGGAAAGAGGACAGCTGCACTTACCTTTGGTTCCAACATGTTGGGCATAGACACTCCTCGGTCCATTCTCATTGCAGGCATGTGGCCATCTGGAAGCGTCTGCAACAGAGATGCTGGTTGGAGGTGGGGCATGAGATAACCTGGGGAACTGAAGGGAGTGCTCTTCGGCTCCCGACTCCCTGTTGGGTCTCCAGTCCTAACCACTATTTCATTGGTGTCATCTAGATGACTATGTAGTTTTCAAAATGAGATTCTTGCTGAATAAGAGCAGGAATACAGCTCTTTTGCAATCAAGTTAGGGAGAGATCTTGGCTTAATAGCTATGGATAAATTCCTCAATTAGACTCCATGAATAAAAGTATATGGGACATTTAGAAGATGGCCAAGTCTATTATTGTTATTTTCTTATCTCTAATCTTGATTTTCTCTGCATTTTTCCTCTTTTCCTATTCTCTATCACATTTTTTTGTTTTGTTTTGTTTTTTTACAAAATTTAGGTTCTAGTGAGAAAGGAATGCAATGAGAGCAAACTGCTCTCTCCTGTCGGCTAAGACATAAGTGTCTTTTCATTTAAGAACATGCAGGAGAAGAGTGGACTAAAGTACTGAGAGATTATAAGTAAAAGAAGAAAAACTGTATATGAGCAGACCCTTGATGGTGGTCCACCTCCACCCCAGAGAAGACTCTCCAAGGCCAAAGCAAGAGAGTCCCCTACACCTGGCTTGGCTCATGTGGTATCCCCAAGGCCTACTGGGACAGCACGACCCAGGCAGCAAGCATGCCTGCTCTTCACAGCTATGGAGTAATAATTAGACAGATCAACCACAGCAAGCATCTTCTCAACAGAAACTGCTGCCTTGGGGCCAGCAGTTTGGAATGGAAAATGGCTGTTCTGCTGGTGTGGCCAGTTCAAGAAAGACAAAGTGTTCCATACCTGGTAATCTGAAAAGGAAAGGAAAAGAAAGTATCATAAGGAAAAGGCCATGGCAAAACATGGAACCATTAATAGAGAGACTATTTTCTATGGAAATTCCCAACATATTGTCCCTAGAAACATGTTCTCTTTCTGCTCCCAGACTCTGCACTTGTTATCCCATCAGCCTCCCTGCAGCCAGGAAATGCCTGCTCCAGTGTGAGTTAACAGTTAAAACATCCTTTTCCCCTGGAATCTTTCGCTGACCACCGAAAGGTACTTACTGCTTCCTTCTCTTGGAATCTCTGATCATAACGTTCATCACACAGACCTTCTTTCTTCCTGCCATATGTATTTTGAGGGCAGAGGCCATGTCTCACTTATTGTTGTACCTCTGGTTCCTTTTTTTTTTGAAGAGACAGCATCTTGCTCTGTCATCCAGGCTGTAGTGCAGTGGCATGATCATAGCTCACTTACATTGCTTAAGCCTTACATTCCTGGGCTTAAGCAATCCTCCTGCCTCAGCCTCCCAAGTAGCTGTTCCACTAGCTAATTATTATATGTATATATTTTTGTTGTTGTTGGTAGAGACAGGCCTAGGCTAGTCTAGAACTTTTGGCCTCAAATAATCCTTCCGTCTCAGCCTCCCAAAATGTTGGGATTCCAGGCGTGAGCCACCATGCCTGGTGTCTAGGTATCTGATAGAACGCTCAGCACCTAGTATGAGCAATGAATGAATCCTCACAAACTCATTTCTTACAGTTTGATTTCATTAGTCTTTGAAATTATGTAAATTATTGCCCTATTAGCTGACAGAAGACAGATGTGAGCCTACTCTAAGGATGCCAGACAGTGTGAACACAGCCAGTATACTTGACTCTCATGAACCCCAGCCTTGAGGGAAGACGTGGCCATGCTCGGCCTGGCTATGGGAGTCTCACCTCGAACTCCCCCGCTGACATCCCCATAGCTGTTATACTGAGCGAAGTCGGTAGAAACAGGCTGAAATGAGAAAAAACAACTATTAGGAAATATCCATAGTGATCATTTTTGAGTCAAGTGAAAAGGAAGAAAGGGTTTATAAAATCCTGGGAATTCTTCCCAAGCTAAATTCCAGGACCTTCATCATTTTTTTCCCTATTATTCTTCTCCTGCTATGGCCTCTCTCTGTCTTTGGTAGTATACTAATGCCACCGGTCAGCGGGCTCTTGGTAAGCAGGGATCTCTTGCTGATAAATAAAAGTGCATTTCCCTACATAGTTGCATAATTCTATTCTAGCTTTTGTAAGGAGGATGGTTATAATACACATTCTTATATCTTTTTACAGCAGAGATAATGGCTCAAGTAATTACTTTTTGTTTCATTGTAAAAATATTTGCCATACAGTTTTACAATATAGTTTTCCCGTAAGCATACACAGGCCATTTCTTTATCTAAAGTTAATTTCTCATTCTCTCCATAGAAATATTTTATTTTGCCTGTAACTCAAACTAACTTACCAGGTGACCAGGGAGGTTAAAATTTTCATTATGTTCCAACACTGAAATCAAGAGTCAGGCGTATTTGGCAATCTGTCAACACTTCAACCAGGGCCAAGGTGGGAGTAAAGCAAGAAACTAATCAGGGAGAAATCTTACCCGGTGAAGCCCATTTCTTCCATAGCCAGGGAGAGATGCAGTTTTAGATGATGGAATATGTGAAGCTGAGAAAGAAAAAAGTAAAAAACCAATTGTTAGGAAATCAGAAGTTCAGAAGTCCATTTTTTTTTTTTTTAAACAGAGTCTCACTCTGTAGCCCATGCTGGAGTGCAATGGTGTGATCTCAGCTCACTGCAAACTCCACCTCCCGAGTTCAAGTGATTCTCCTGCCTCAGCCTCCCAAGCACCCTTGACTATAGGCACACGCCACCATGCCCAGCTAATTTTTGTATTTTTAGTAGAGATGGGTTTCACTATGTTGGCTAGGATGGTCTCAATCTCTTGACCTCGTGATCCACCTGCCTCAGCCTCCCAAGCACCCTTGACTATAGGCACACGCCACCATGCCCAGCTAATTTTTGTATTTTTAGTAGAGAGGGGTTTCACTATGTCGGCTAGGATGGTCTCAATCTCTTGACCTCGTGATCCACCTGCCTCAGCCTCCCAAAGTGCTGGGATTACAGGCGTGAGCCACCGCGCCCAGCCAGAAGTCCAATTCTTCAATGAAACTGGCAGTCTCTTCTACCTCACAGAATAGAAGATACCAAAAGAATTCAAATCATATTGGGCCCAAATGTTCAAAAATTGCCACCATATTTTCAAGGAGTGGGTGAACAGTGAGATGATTAAGTAGGGAAGGGCAAGTCCACGCAGTTGAGTGGGCGCTGAAGCTAGCAGCGCTTCCTACAGCTCCGGCATGGCGCTAAGTGTTCAGCATGCTTGCTTTCTTCAATTGTATTGAATCTTCAATACAACCCTAATAACACTGTTATTATTAGTTCGATATTACAGAAGGAGAAATAGGGGCTAGGTAAAATATCTTGCCAAAGGTTGGTAAGATTCTAAACAGCTGACGAGGATGTAAATCAGAGATAGCTGAATACATTAGCCCAAGCCCCAGTGGATACAGTAGCAGTAACTGAACTGGAGGCCAACCCCGTATGTTATCAAGATCTACCAGCCAATTACAGTTGGACTCCTGGGAGGCCTGACATAGGGTATCTGTCAGTTGCATGGAAGCCTCATAGGCTGCTGGGCTTTAGTGGGAGCAGCCCTGGGCTTGAATTCTGCCCCTGCAACTTCATACCTCTGTATCTCTGGACATGGTGTTGAATTTTCCTGAATTCTTCATTTCTTTATCTATGTAGGTATAATGTTACACATTCTTATAGAGCAGAATCTCAGAATTAGAAGAAACTCTAAGGATTTGTAAACCACTGAATCCAAGATCAATGCCGGTGAGGCATCTATGAAGGGTAGCAGGAATTCCAGGTGAGGGTGTGGGCTCTGGGGTTATAATATGTGGGCTTCTAAATTCTACTCTTGCTAATTATTGGCACTGTGACATTGGGTATGTTAACTCAATTTCTATATCCGTCTCCTGATTTATAAAATACAGATGAAAATGCTACAGTTGCTAATAACAACCACATCTGCTTCATCGGCATGTTGTGAACATTAAATGTTTAGCAAAAGTGCTTGCATGGCGTGAACATTAAATGCATTTTGTTTTGTTTTCTTTTTGAGAGAGTTTCGTTCTTGTTGCCCAGGGTGGAGTGCAATGGTGCGATCTCGGCTCACCGCAACCTCCGCTTCCCAGGTTCAAGTGATTCTCCTGCCTCAGGCCTCCTGAGTAGCTGGGACTAAAGGCATGTTCTACCACCCTCAGCTAATTTTGTATTTTTAGTAGAGATGGAGTTTCTCCATGTTGGTCTGGCTGGTCTTGCACTCCTGATCTCAAGTGATCTGCCTCCTTGGCCTCCCAAAGTGCTGGGATTATAGGTGTGAGCCAGAGTGCCCGGCCCTAAATATATTTTTAAAGGAACTCTTAGAGGAGAAAATTATGATCTGGCTCAGAATACAGGGGAAGAAATCTTGTGGGTTAAGAGAGAATTGGCTTATAAATAGAAGCAGGGGAAAATACACTGCTAAACTATTTCAGCCCAGGATGTAAGTCATCTTCTTCAAAAGTATCAAAAACACTGTTCATTCTCAGTTCTTATATTGAAGTGTGTTTTTTTTGGAAGAAATTTTACTCTTGTTGCCCAGGCTGGAGTGCAATGGCGCGATCTCAGCTCACTGCAACCCCCGCCTCCTAGGTTCGAGGGATTCTCCTGCTTCAGCCTCCCAAGCAGCTGAGATTACAGGCACCTACCACTATGCCTGGATAATTTCTGTATTTTGAGATGGGGTATCACCATGTTGGCCAGGTTGGTCTTGAACTCCTGACCTCAGGTGATCCACCTGCCTCGGCCTCCCAAAGTGCTGGGATTACAGATTTGAGCCACTGCGCCCATGAAGATATTAATTAAAATCACAACACTTAGAAAATGTCTTGTTCATGTTCTCTTTAAAAAAAAAAGCATCATGTTTTCTAGAGGATTTCCTCTTGCTGCTTCCCTTGGAGATGAGTGTTCTAGAAAACAAACCAAGTTTTGGGGATTGGCCTTCATGGATCTTGAGAACCTCCAAGGGCTCCCCCATTTCTAGAAGACATGGAGTGGGTTTCCCACACTTCTTTTCCCAGGGAATATCTGTAGGTTCCACCATAAATGAACAGTCAAGGCAGATTCCTTGCAGGCAGGTGGCTGGCTCTTGAATCAAGGAAGGCTGGAGGGTTTGCTGCTCACCTGAGTTGATGGGTGAGTCATAGCGACTGGCTAACAGAGATGACCTTTCTCGGCTCTCTTTCTCCATCTCTTCTTTCAATATCAACTGTCCCAAGCCCGAGTTAAGCTATTCATAGAAAAAAGAAAAAAAAAAAAAAAAAAAAAGAAAGCAAAGCCTGCAATTATTTTCATGGAACTGCAGTTTCTTTTTAGCAGATCCCACAAGAAGTTCCTCAGGCCTGAATGCAAGTGTTCCCAGAGGCTGGCAGCTCCTGAAGAGGTAGGTCAAGTTTGGGACCCGAGACCCCTTAGCCCTTTCAGTTTCAAAGCTCCATTTCCCTACGTCAGGCTCTATGTTAGAAGGATGTTTTCCTTCCTCTGCCCTCCCTAAAGAGCCACGAGACCTCAGAAGGCATGTATGAGTGTGTGTGGATTTTAAGGTGGAAAGGGGAGACTGGGGGTGGTTTTCTTTACAAAGAAGTTGCCTTGATTTGTTTAAAAACAAGAAATAAAGGTAATACATGCTCATTTTATAGATTTTTGGAAAATCCAGAAGAAAAGAAGAGTAACCCATGATATGTCCCTCATAAATAACACACTTATATTTTGATTTGTATCTATCTAGTATTTTTGTATACATACATATAAAACTGAGATCATACTATAAATGAACTTTGAATCTTTTGACTAATATCACGTGCATTTCCTATGTGCTTAGAAAACATCATTTCCAAGGATTCAGTAGCCTCTTGATTGGTAGGAGAGTTTATAACTATCCTTCTGGGCTACTGCAGGCCCTTGCTACAGAAAGGAGGAGCCCTTCATGCTGGCAGTTCCTTTCATTCCTTTTCTCCTGGCCCATATCCTGGGAAAAGACTTGGAGCAATGTTCAATCCCACAATCATTCCTTCAGCAGAGCCTGGGTGGACACCACATTGCTCTACTTGGCTTTCCAGCAGCCTTTCAACACGTGCACTGCACACACCCCCATGCAGTCTCACTTTCCTTCCCACAAAAACCCAAGCCTTCCACTCTCCTCTGACCTCCAGCATCAATGCCATCTCCTCTGGAGCCCAGCACGTATTCTGCCATATTCTAGTTACCATTAATAGACACCTGTCTTGTCTTGCCTACCAGACTTCAAGCCCCTTGAAGACTGGGACCACTTCTTGCCTATCTAGGTGATTTCTACGTAGCAGTCATTCAAAAAATATAGACCTTATGTGACTGGAATTGAAGACAGCAGCAAGGTAGTTTAAGGACAAACCTTCATTAATTGCTCTTCTTGAAGCTGCCGGCGTCTCAGAAGTTCCTCATCATCTTCCTCTCTGGCACTAGATCTGCGTCTCATGTCAGGTCCTAATTCCACAGCAAAGACAACTTCTCACATCAGCCCCAAGACAAGGGAATCTTAACGGGTTAGTCCATCTGTGTTCAATTTGTTAGGCTGGCAAGGCCAGCAGTGGTCTTTAACACTTTTAAGTAAATAACACAAGAAAAAAAAAATGCCCGCCACCAATTCAGCACTACCCACTGGTTTCTCAAGAAAAGGGCCCCGGGTGGCAAGCCAGGTCAATGTCTGATGCAAGGAAGGCCTGAATTTTGGCCTCCCAAGTAGCCTGCTCAATTAGAACTGGGTTTGCTGTTGCAATTGTGTCTAAGTCCACTTTAGTAAATGGGAAGGGCATCTCCAGTTGTTATTTTGATGTCTTTGAAGTCAATTTCCTTTCTTTTTTGAGAGAAGGTTTCACTCTGTTGCCCAGGCTAGAGTACAGTAATACAGTAATGGCTCACTGCACCCTCGACCTCCAGGCTTAAGCAATCTTCCCACCTCACCCCCCTGGATAGCTGGGACCACAGGTGTGTGCCACCACACTCTACTGATTTTTAAATATGTTTTTACAGACATATGGTCTCTCTATATTGCCCAGGCTGATCTTGAACTCTAGAGCTCAACTAATCTTCCTACCTTGACCTCCCCAAATGCTGGGATTACAGGTGTGAGCCACCACGCCCAGCCTCAATTTTCAAACAGAAAGAAATGCAAATTTATCTCCATACCAAGAGATAGGTAAGCTTTCATTGTTTTGTGTTCAAATCTTGTAGTTTTCTCTTTTTCTGAATATTTACAATTTTACGGTACTATCACACTGTCTTCTACGACTGGCAAATTCGATAGAAAGCATACTTTTACTATTTATTTCAAGAAATGGGCCTCTAAAGTTTTCTTTTTCTCATCCTTTGAAAAATGGTCACAAAAGAGTTTTATACTGATAGGTAAATAAAAGGCATTAATACGGCTACAATGTTACTTTGGAGCAATACAGTAAATTGTATGCAATATCTTTTTAGCATTCTGGAAAAGGGGAGACAGAAAAAGGAAAGGAGGAATCTGTCTGCATGGTTGGGAAGTTAAGACAAACTATCGTTTTTCCTAAATTGCTTGGATTACTCTGGCTGTGGGAGGAAACAGGAAAGTTTGCTAATCTAATCAAAATAAACTTTAACTAATAGTCTTAGTTTTCAGCATTTTCCTTTTGGAATCCGAAAGAGCTTTAAACTCTTAGTGATAATAAATTCAACGACAAAAACTTAATTCTTCCTCTTTCCAAAATTTAGCTGTTTTAATGTCCCCAGTAAGCAGTTTACTAAACTAACACCCTCGAGGCCTCGAGAACTTCCTGGAGGGCATGGATTGGCACAGAAAAACTGATGACTGGCTCGTGGTCCTTACAATCATAAAGGTCAATGTGAAGTTTCTCTCTTTAGTTTACACTAATGGAACTCAACAGATGCAAGTTTGCAAGGACTAGATAAATTTCATTAACACAATGTATAGAACACTTGCGAATAATAAAGTTAGGAGGTAGATTTTCCTTAAATTCTTTTTATAAATATCAGTTGATTTAAAATCCACATGTATTGCTTGTGAAAAATATTCCAAAAATAGCATGATAAAAAAAAAACACAATGAAGATGAGAACATTTTGGAAAATTGAAGGCCTTTGAGGCTGTCAACAAAAATGTAGAAAGGTCATATCTTTGTAAAGCTGACTCACTCAATTTTCAGTATCAGCTTCTGGGTTTGCTAATACTTCTTTTTAGGCCAAGTGAGTTCACTACTGAGAATATACTAAAGACAGAGACATAATTGGAAAGCATAGAGCAAAGAATGGAACAGCTGAAATATGACATTTTAGCATAGAATTCATGAAGATGGTAGATGTAAAATCACACAACTTCACATAAATAATATTTCAGAACACCCACTTCTCTGCAATAGGTCATTTTCATGATGGAGAACAAGATCTCGCAAGAAAAATGAAAGTGCTTCAGTGTTAAGATTGGCTGTTAAGAATTATAACTACAACCCAGAAATAGTCTAAAACGAATTTAACTGAAAGAAGTCATGCTTCTACAAACGCTCGGTAAATTCAGCCACTAGACTCTAATTATATAGAACGATGTTCTTACCATAAGGCTTTGACTCAATTATGCTCAATAGAGCGACTGCTTTTGCGGTATTAACCCTGAAAGTCCATGCAAACCATTGGTTTTAGACCAGTTCTGGATCTCAGTGGGTTTGGTTAGAACAAGACTCTGGTGTTTTTGTAACTTTCAAGCGTTTCGTACACAAGTTGATACCACATTAGTTCTTTTTACTATGCTACCTCTTGGTCATACTTCTCTTTAAAATCTTCATGACAGGATACATTTTACTGCATGTTTTTAAGCATCTCATCTTGAGCTGTCCTAGCAGTTTGTCTCTTTGGTTTGGCTGTGATGGTTGCATACCTATGGCGGCAAATGAGGGGGGACCAGGCCAGTGGTCCGTCTCAATCTTTGGTGTCTCGCTGGGGTCTGGTGCCTGGGCTGCTGGGAACTTGGAAAACTTGATGATATCTTCTGAGGACTTGCTCTGGGCTGCCAAGGCAGCTGCATCTAGATGGGAATCAGGGGTTGCTTAGCTATTGGTCTGTAAGACAATGGTGCTACAACCCCATTTACATAGTTTTCTTGTTTTCTGGCAAAAGTTTCAGTTCCAGAAAGTTCTGTTTATTACAATTATCCATTGCTCAGTCACTCAGACGTACCTATTGACAAGTCAACTCATTTTCCTTACTTTACATCAGAAGCAAAGCTTCATTCTATACATGATCTACATCTGAAAAACCCTATTCTAGAGCTGTGCTGCCCAGCACTGGCTAGATGAGGCTATTTAAACAAAAACAAATTAATAAAATTAAAATTCAGCTCCTCAGCTTCACTGGTCATATTTCAACTGCTCAGTAGTCACATGTGATTAGTGACTACTATACTGGACAGCTCAGATATAGAACATTTCCATCCTCATAGAAAGTTCCAGTGGACAACACTCTCCTAGTCATTAGTAATCTAAAATTAAAGAGCTAAGCTGAAAATACGAGGCTGTCACTTAACTGCAGTTGTTAGTCATTAGAGGGTTGGCTGGCTTTGCATCTTTGGGCAAGAAGCCACAAATATATTGGCCCAGTTCATTCTTTGTTATTATTATTTTAAGACAGAGTCTCACTATGCTGCCCAGGCTGGAGTGCAGTGGCATGATCTCTGCTCACTGCAACCTCTGTCTCTCGGGTTCAAGCGATTCTCCCGCCTCAGCCTTCCAAGTAGCTGAGATTACAGGCCTACGCTACCACACCCAGCTAATTTTTGCATTTTTAGTAGAGATAGGCTTTCTCCTAGCCAGACTGGTCTTGAACTCCTGACCTCAGGTGATTAGCCTGCCTTAGCCTCCCAAACTGCTGGAATTACAGGCTTGGGCCACCATACTTGGTCTGGTCCAATTCATTCTAATCTTTACATACTTTGCATATGTGTGTCCTTGAGTCCTAGGAGAAAAGGAAATTGGAAAATCCACTTTCAGCCTGAAGGAATTTGGCATTGAAACTTCTGTTTGCCATGCCCACTCATTGTTTTGATCAAAGGTCTGTGCACACAAGTGAGTTATCCAACTTTAAAACAACAAAGGCAAACTAGCAGCAATATTAGTTTACAAAGTTCTTAATGGCTATGCTTAGAGGAGGAGTCACAGCATAGAGCCCCGAATCTAACCTACAGCAATGGAGCAAAACAAACCAGGTTAAATGGACAGACCCTGATTTTGGCTCATTTTGCAAACTGGCCTGGGATGTTACTAAACATTTCAAAATGTATTTATAATGCCTTAAATAACTTTTTTCTTTGGGGCTTACATATTTTAAAATCTGGAAATAACCTTTTGAATCTCCAGCTCTAAGTCCTCCATTTTTCGAGTAACCTTCTGGGTCTCAATTTGCTTAAAAACTCAACCAAGGTCGCCCAATAAAGGCCGGGCGCGGTGGCTCACGCCTGTAATCCCAGCACTTTGGGAGGCCAAGGCGGGTGGATCACAAGGTCAAGAGATCGAGACCATCCTGGTCAACAAGGTGAAATCCCGTCTCTACTAAAAATACAAAAAATTAGCTGGGCATGGTGGCACGTGCCTGTAATACCAGCTACTCAGGAGGCTGAGGCAGGAGAATTGCCTGAACCCAGGAGGCAGAGGTTGCGGTGAGCCGAGATTGCGCCATTGCACTCCAGCCTGGGTAACAAGAGCGAAACTCGGTCTCAAAAAAAAAAGGTAGCCCAATAAAAAGGGGTAGTCTTTTTCCCTTCCTTGGAGACAGAATCTAGCTAAGGTTGCACAGGCTGGATTCTAACTTCTGTACTCAAGCAGTTTCCTCACTTCAGCCTCTGAAGTAGCTGAGACTCTGGGTGTGTGCCACTGTGCCCAGTTTAGGAGGTAAAGTCTTGGCCAAGCATGAAACAGTGTTTTTCTGAATCTGTAACATTATGAGAGAAAAAATTTCAGCTTGGAAAGCACTACATACAAAATCCCCTTCTTAAAGATGGATAACACATGTTAGCATATGAGAAGTTCTCAGTTCTGCATTGTGAAGAACAAGTATGGCTTTATTTAAAATCTAGCATTTCTCAAATGCATTAGGGCACAGACGTGAGTTTTGGGCATAAGAACTATGGCTTTGGCATGGAATGGCTATTTTGCAAAAACATCCTTTGCAAAGCGCTGCTCTGGCTGGGCTATTTTTAATTAATGACCACAGACTGAAAGACTTCAGTCACAGTAAATATTATGAAAAGAAGTAAATTTATCCCTTCCAAACAAATAATCTAACATTGTCCAATCTCCTTAAATTTTAGTTATTTGATTGTTTTTCTTCAGAGAGGTGGACTTAAAGATAGGATTTTTTACAGTCTATAAGTTGACAAATAAAACTCTGATGATTTTATTCTTAAATTAACAATAGGATGATTTTGAACAGTACTTACGCATTAGAATTGGTGAAGTCAGTAGTTAAACATTCATATGTTAATGAGTGTGTGGTAAGACAGTAAACCATAAAAAAAAAAAAAAAACAATGTTAACAAACTTAAAAAGCAAGCGTATGGTTTAAAACCTCAACAGAAAGATGAGAAAAAAAATCAGAGCTCTAGAACCACTGCGATACATACATTTCTCTTTGTCTTCCTAGGATTTTGGCCTAAAATTTATGCATTTCCAACATTATTTGATTTTCATGTCATCGTTTTTTTGGTTTTGTTTTCTTTGCAATGGAGTCTTGTTCTGTCACCCAGGTTGGAGTGCAGTGGTGCCATCTCAGCTCACCACAACCTCTGCCTCTGGAGTTCAAGCAATTCTCCTGCCTCAGCTTCCCAAGTAGCTGAGATTACAGGCATGCACCACCATGCCCAGATAATTTTTTTTGTATTTTAAATAGAGACAGGGTTTCACCAAGTTGGTTAGGCTGGTCTTGAACTTCTGACCTCAAATGATCCAGCCACCTCAGCCTCCCACAGTGCTGGGATTAGAGGCTTGAACCACTGCACCTGGCCTCATGTTATCCTAATTCTTAAGAACTCATGAATGTCAACTGGATTCTAAAGGCAGCCTTCAAATTTCCAGGCATAATTTGTGTAGAATTTTCTGAAATCACCTGAAGACCAGCTTTGGCTATCTTTTCACAAAGTTTTATGGTAGATATGTCTACAGAGACTTAATGATGGTGAATGAAAATGTGATTTACACAAAGTCATGTGATTTCCTGAGTTAAAAAAAGGAAAACACAATTATACATGCACGTTAGTGATTCTTAGTTTGTAGGAGTTCAGAGAGAAATGAATCTAACTGTTTTCACAGAAAACAGAAGCACAGAGAAATGACATCACAGGACCATTTAGGGAGAAAGTGGGACTAGGGCCTCGACCTCTGCATTAGCTTGTATCCGGTTCACTCCACCGTGCAGACATCTTCATGCCCAATAAGAAACTGGAGACCTGGACAGCCATGTTGATATAGGCTCAGTCAAATTAGTTTTTCTAGGTGGCTGGTTTTCACTACTTTAAATTAGTCTCATCAAACTTATTTTAAAGGGTGACCATATTTGATGGCAAAAAAAAAAAGTCTCACTAGGATGTTTGTGAGTTGCTGTGTGACCAGTACTTCCCCTTCTCAAGGGATGGAATGACACATGGTTTGATGGGCTCAGAAACAGGTTAGAAGCTTTCTAATCAAGCTAAGTGCTCTCCATCCAGGAAAATCAATTTCACAATATTTACATCTTAGTAGACGAGAAAGGTATAATTATGCTGGATGCCCCAGTTTCTCAAAAGCAGCAGCAGGAAAAGCCTTTCAGAGGACAGCAAGGAGAAGTTCAGCTGACTTTGCTATTTAAAAGCTATGCGGAGGAAAGTGGGTTTTACCATGCTGTTTGTAGATGGGTGGTTTTCGGTAAATGTTGATCCCTTGATCTGCGGAAATGAAAAGCAAAGGTGTGTGATTATGGGAATCAGTTCAGCGATGGGAAAAACAGATCAATCAAGGGGCTAATCAAACTGAAGATCTTGAACAAAAATAACCCAGAAGGTTAATTTCTGTATTACAAAGATTGAGTTTATTGGAAGAAAAATTATAATAGAAATGAGCGGCTTACTATAGACAAGTGTTATGGAAGCCTTTGTAATACATCTTAGAATATATAAAGATGTGATTAACTCATGAGCCATTTATTTCAAATACACATTTCACTGAAAGTGGGATTAAAACAGGAAGAAATACAAGCAGTGGAGGTACTCTTATGGTGAGAAAGACATAACCAGTTTGGGGAAAACCCCAAATTGCTACTGTCTAGAAATTGAGCCCCCAGTAGATACCAGTGGCTCAATTTACTTTTCAACTAATGAGTGGAACAGTGGAAAGCAATGTAGAAAAATCCAGAGTATTGTTTTTTTTTTTAAAAAAAAACATAGAAACTTTATATGTGCAAGGCTAGCCTGGTGTGCTGATGGGATGTTCAACAAATCCTAATTTATACAGGCCAAAATTTTAAAAAAGAATGAATGAATGAAAAAGAAAAGAGATGCTAAATACTCTTTATATATTTATACAAGACCCCATAGGATTATGAAACCATTTTGCTTTAGCTATAAATACTCAGGAAATTTCAAAAGGTTTCTATTTCCCCAGAACCTTGGGCACTGTATCTTAAGGGGACATTTTTATGTGAAAAATCCCAAATAGAGAACATTAATTTTCAAGATCCAATTAAACTTTTTTAGAAAGCACAGTCCCAACTAAGTGATATAACTCTCAGTAAACTTTCCTCTGTTTTATTAGGTAAGTCTAGAAGCAAAAGAAAAAAATGATTATAGATTCTAAATATGTACACTTACATTAATATAGTGGGTAATTTATTAAACTACTTTCAGTAGCTAAACAAAGCAAAAAACAATATACTGTTTGGAGAAATATATTATTACCTCTGATGGTTAATCCTGTCTTTACAGAGTGAGCGGACTCTAAACATTACAATATTATATCAATGGGCTCTGATTCTGTCAGTTTCTGATGTCAAATTACTATTTGTATTATGACAGCAAATGCTGTGACCACTAGAGCAAAGCTTGCAGCACCAAGCCTAAATTGCAAGATATCTTCATGGGCTATGGAGGTGGCCAGGCTCCTATGCACTGCAGAAAGACCAACCAATTCACCCAATTCTACATCTCTCTGAAAAGTCTTTGGAGAAAGTCTCCATGTTAGAGAAAAACAGGAAATAGAAAAGTATTCTCTCAAGTGATACTGTGGTTCAATCTTCAGGATGACTAGATTGCCATTGTGATAATTAGTCAATGACAGCAAACCACAGAACGATATCTTAGAAGGCAATGATAAAAAGGTACAATTAAATTTTTAGTAAATAACAAAACAAACAACCCAACTGCTTTTACCCATTACCCACACTCTTCAAAAAAATATTTGAAAAGACATAAAGCTTCAACGTAATCCTGGCATTTAACACAAAACTTTTGAAAGGCCCCCTAGGTCAGATCCTGCAATTTAGGGTTAACTGTGCATCCCAATTAAAAGAGCATGAGAGATGAGACGAGACGAGGTTACAAGGCTACATTCTACACTGTGACAGGACACCAAGACACAGACTGTGTCAGCTCCTACCTGGAACATGGAAATGTTTAGGGGCCTGAGCGTAAGTTGGAGTTAGAGGGCGGCTGTCTGGCCGGTAAGGGAGAGGGGAGTTCCGGCCGCTGGACGGCTCATTGCCTCCAATGAGAAGAATGGAAAAAACAAAATGAGAGAAGGGAGAGAAACAAAGAAAACAAAGCAAGCATAATAAAAATTCAAAACAACAGCCTGGAAGGAGGTTCATCAAAAAGGAGAAACAAAACAAACAAACTCAATTTATCAACTTGGCTCGCAAAGGTGATAATCAGGTTTAGTTTTCCGTCACAGAGATTTGAATTCAGGTGGAGCTGGGTTAGAAGCAGCGAGCGGTCAGGTGCGTCATTCCGATGGCATGCATTGAAAGCTGTGAGCTCGCAGCAAACTGATTAGATGAAGAGGACATTGGGAGGGATGGAAAGCTTCTTGCTCATGATTCAGGATCAGTTGTCAGATGCTTAAATCCCAAGCATGTAAGGGGGCAGGCTAGGCAAACCCAAATACAAATCACTCCCAAGCATGACGGCAGTGGCTGGCAATTAGCAGAGGTTTCTCCTATCTGAAGGTTAAGTCCTTAGGGAACCTGTGGTCACCAAGTCCTTCCCCTTAGGAATACAAAGTGCCTTCATTTGCAGCATATGTTTCTGTTTTCCTTACTTTGAAATATACAAGCTAGAGTCAGAGCCATGTCAACCAGGTACTTTGGGTTTATACCTCTCCCCACCTTTCACTTCGAAGATGAGGCTCCTCCCAGGCTAATGATTCAACCACCGAAACATTTACTGAGCACCTACTATGGCTGGGCACTGAATACTACTGAGGACAAATAGATGAATGAGATATAGTCTCTGCCCTCAAGGGACTTATGGGCTATCTACGAAGACAGTCTTAAAACAAATATCATATAATGACATGTAATTGTTTACTCTGAGGTATAAGAAAAATGCTATGAGACTCAGATGAAGGTGCCACGAATTCTTCCAGTTGGGTTTGAGGTGGGCATCAAAGAGTAAGTTCACCAGGTAGGAGGGTAGGTGAATGGGAGGGTGGGAAGCCCATATTCCAGCGGGCTGGAATGCCATGAGAAAGGAGAGTGTGGAATGGTGTGGTCTGGGGGAGCAACAGGACTGGCCACCTTGTTTGGACAGCATGGTGCTCTTGGAGGAGAGAAGAGGGACCAGGCCAGAAAAGAGAGCAAAGGGTGGCTCAGCCTTCAGTGCCATCACAGCCACCATCACTCCCTTCTGACCAGGAGAATGGCTGGGATGAACTGATTCAGCTTGCACAAAATTAGAGATTTGCAACTGACCTAAATTGTCCTCTGACCCTATGTCTGGGCAAACATCTTGTCTTAAGAGGACACCGGAAGATGTAGGACTACCAAAACTCAGTAAATCAGTAGTGGTAATTACTTTTACTATTGAGTTGTAAGAGCTCTTTATATATTCTGGATCAAGTCTCTTATCAGAAATAATATAAATTTGCAAATATTTCCTCCCAGTCTGTAGGTTGTCTTTTTACTTTTTTAGTAGAATTCTTTGAGGCATAAAAGTTTAAAAAATTTGATAAAGTCCAATTTATTTATCTATTAACACTAATAATTTTAAATAAATCGTAGATCATCAGAAAATAGCACTCTGGCCAGTTGAGTCATGTCAAATTTTCCTAAATCTAGCCAGTGAAGTATGAAAGATGTCAATTATTAGAGTTTTAAAATACGTTTAAGAGAATTCTAATGTCTCAGCATGTACATTTTTTAAGTAACCAGAGTACAGATCTATACTGAATGCGCAGTAAGATATTCCAAATATGAGATCTGTGTCTATTACTGCAACAAATTTAGATTCCTGGCTTTGGCTTATTGGTGTTCTGAAACTTTTGTCTTTTCTTCTCCAGAGTCAGTTTTGCCCCAGATATGCTATAAATGTTGACTTTATTAAGTCATATATTAGTTTCTAAAAAACAAGAAATATCATCTGGCTTGTGGTCTTTTCTCAAAAGAAAGTAAAATGGGTCTCAATTTTTGCCACTGCTTCTGAACCACATGGCTGGATGCTTTTGTTCTTTCACATCGACCTCCACTGTCCTTGTAGAAAATCAGATGTTTCCAGGAAAGTTCTCATAGGTTTTGGTTATAATATGCAATCAAATGAACTTCTATTAAATCAGTTTTTATAATTATTAGCCAGTGTCATGTACACACAAAAATATCTGCATATGCAGGACACAAAATTTAAGGTTATTAGAATTAGACATTTGTCCAGGTATTAAAATCTTTCTGTCAACAGGACCCTCTGCTGGCCAGTGTCTGTGGAAGCCTACCACTTCTTGAATACGGTCAAAAGTCTTTCAGAGGCTATGTAGTAGCTGTCTGAATTCCCAAGGAGTATGAATGCCATCACCAGCTGGGTGTGGTTCTATATTTTGCTGTATGTGTTTAGCAACTGTTGACCTCTCTAGTTGTTTTTTTTTAAAAAAGAAAAACACTAATATGTTCAAATTTTGTAAGTAGATTTAACTATAATCATTTAAAACTTCCCATAAAGCATTTTTAAAAATCAGATAAAGAGAGACCCAGTGACACACCCATCTCAGCAATTCTGCGGAATGTGATTTTCACGTATCACAACTGCTCATTGGAGAATAAGGTCTAGATAATGTTGCTAGGTACCAAATTCTTAGCCCCTGAAATACCAAAGGCATGACAAATTTTGGGCATTTAAAATAAAAATAAAAATTCTCAAGAAGAGGCCTCTTTCTCTTTTCTAACTTAAACACCCTATTCTTTATTTGTTTTTAATTTTGTTTTTTTAGACAGAGTCTCTCTCTGTCACCCAGGCTGTAGTGCAGTGGCATGATCCCAGCTCCTTCTGCTTCCCAGGTTCAAGTAATTCCCCTGTCTCAAGTAGATGGGATTACAGGTGTGTGCCGCCATATCCAGCGAATTTTTGTATTTTTAGTAGAGATGGGGTTTCATCATGTTGCCTAGGCTGGTCTTGAACACCAGAACTCAAGTGATCTGCCTGCCTCAGCCTCCCAAAATACTGGGATTACAGGCGTGAGCCACTGCGCTCAGCCAACATCCTATCTTTAAATGATTTAACTTTGAACCCAACCCTGGCAGGAAATAACTGCTGGGTGCCCTAATCTGTGCCTAGATTCTTACTTAGACAAAGGAATGTGCAACATACTAGATGAAATATCATATTTGGAAGATATCATTATTATCATCATTGTCATCATTTATCAACCTAGAATAAGATACTGTTTAAAAATAATAGGCCAGGCATGATGGCTCACACCTGAAATCCCAGCACTCTGGGAGGCTGAGGTGGGTGGATCACTTGAGGTCAGGAGTTCGAGACCAGCTTGGCCAACATTGTGAAGCCCTGTCTCTACTAATAATACAGAAATTAGCTGAGCGTTGGTGGCAGGCACCTGTAATCCCAGATACTCAGGAGACTAAGGCAGGAGAATTGCTTGAGCCAGGGAAGCGGAGGTTGCAGTGAGCCAACATTGCTCCACTGCACTCCAGCTGGGGGAACAGAATGAGACTCTGTCTCAAAACAAAACCAAAAACACCACTGTATACGTGTGTGCGCGCGCGCGTATGCACATGTGTGTGTATGTGTATAATACAATAGCATATATATCACACTCACAGCTATTTTGTTCCTCTAAGTTCTCAGATTGGGCCACCCTAAGTTGTTAGTGTTCTTACCTACTGCAGTGACAAGCTACTATGTTTCTATTTATGTTTTTATTTCTATTTCTTGGCCTTCATTTTTACTTCTTTTCCTGTTAACCTAGTAAGCCGACTTTCTAGACCTTGAGGGAGCATTCACTTACAGGATTCTCACCGTACTTAACAAATCCAAATGCCCGTCTCCACTTCTGTTCTTTTTGGCATATGAAAGCCTGAGTGACTAATTCTAAGACAAGTGAATAGAAAGCTGGGTGTGCAATTCTGCTGTGGGAACCTGCTGGAGCACTGCCGAGCTTTCTGGACTTGTAGTGCTTACATTCCCAAATATAAATGAACATCTTGAGGGATCTTTAAGATAACTTGGCAGCATCCGGAATTTTGTGAGAGTTTTAAGATTGCCGGTTCTTGTCTAAAGAGTCAATAAGAGTTACAGTTTCCTTCAGCACGTGTCAACTATATATTTATATCATGGCAACTCATATTTATAGCAAAAGAGAAAAGATTCCTTTCAAAGAGATTTAATATATGTAGCCCTCCTGCTCACAAATCCAATTTATACTTCATGGACACAGACTGTCATGTCTAGCAGTATTTCAAAGGGGAAGGAAGAGAAACTTAGCAGACACTTCACAAACGAAGCCCAAAACAAAGTGAAAATGGTTTTTCCAAATCTCTAGGCATAAGGTTGTCCAAATGGCCCAAAGATATACTGAGACAGAATGAGGTTACAAGGAAGTTTGGAGAACAGAAATTAAAATACACCCAACCAACAAGGGATGTTATGGAAAATGGACGGAGAAGCCAGCAAAATAGAGAAACAGTCTGTGCCGTGCATCTCAGCTTTACAACCATGCAGGCGTCCTCAGCTCAGCGAGCCCCAGGCCTGGGTCACATGCTGCAGAAACAAGGACCAGGAAGTGGACTTGGGCAATGGAAGGCTGGGCTTCTGGCTACCAGAGTGGCGAAGGGCCCCCCGCCTGCCTCTGAGATGGACATCCTACCTCAGGTCAAGCTCCCAGCAAACATCCATTAAAAAAAATAACTCCCTCAAGTTCCAAGACAAGCTGCAAGATAAAAGTCAATGAAGGGCCACAGAAAACCCTGGAAGACATTGACTTATCTCAAAGGTATCTTGAATGTGTTTCTCAATGGCCGTAAGTCCCCCCATTCTGAAATTTCTCAGTGCTGGAGAGATCTTCCATGTAAATGGATAAATGTTTTTCAAAATAACTAAGACGTATGGAGAATCGGCTAAATGCCAAATACACTAGGCTTTTAAAGCAATATCTTTATGGTACAAAATTGCCATGATGTATCTTTTTTTTTTTTTTTTTAAATGGCTCCCTGCGGAGCAGGACTGCCCAATAGGCATCTGTGCCCAAAGCAGCCAATGATTTATCTTTTAGGTTGGCAAAAAGCTCACATGATTGAAAAACTAAGTATATACTGTTACATAAATTACACTTTGCATCGGAAGCATAAAGACTATTGCATATGAACAAGCTATAGGCACATATCTAGTAAAAAGAAAAGGGGAGAGAGACTATTGGACGTTAAGTTCAGGGTCCCTAATTCCTTTTGGTCTTATGCTTTTTATCATTTAAACCCAGAATATTTGATGATGTCAAAAACTTCAAATGCAGACTGAAAACAGAAAAGAATGTATATCTACATTTTGAATAAAGCACCATTTAGGAACATAGGGTGGAATAATTTTTATAACCATTTAATATTTTCTGTGGAAAAGTAAATAGCTCTTAATTTTGTGATCTAAATGACTGAGGATTATTCTTGGTCTAAGCTTCAATAAGAATGCAATTTTCTGGCCAAAAGTGAAAAATAAAAATGTGCTTTAAAAATTATCTTTATGCATATTTATGCTGAAACACGTGGTCCTCACGTGAAGGAATGCTCCTGGGGTGGAGAGGGCCTGGGGTCTTGTCCGGGCACTGCCACGTCCTGGTGGTGAACCCCTGGAAAGTTACTTGGCGAGGACCCCTGCTACTTGTCTCCTCACTCGGCCCATTTATTTTTTATTTTTTATTTTTTATTTTTTTGAGACGGAGTCTCGCTCTGTAGCCAGGCTGGAGTACAGTGGTGCAATCTCGGCTCACTGCAACCTCCATCTCCTGGGTTCAAGGAATTCTCCTGCCTCAGCCTCCCAAGTAGCTGGGACTACAGGCGCACACCACCACGCCCAGCTAATTTTTGTATTTTTAGTAGAAACGGGATTTCACCATGTTGACCAGGGTGGTCTCGATTTCTTGACCTCATGATCCACCCGCCTCGGCCTCCCAAAGTGCTGGGATTAGAGGCGTGAGCCACTGCGCCTGGCCCAATTTTTGTATTTTTAATAGAGACAGGGTTTCACCATGTTGGCCAGGATGGGCTCAATCTCTTAACCTCATGATCCGCCTGCCTCAGCCTCCCAAAGTGCTGGGATTACAGGTGTGAGCCACCGAGCCCGGCTCACGCAGCCCATTTCTTAAGGATGCTGTGAAAAAACGAACAGAATGGTGCCATCAAAAATGATTTAAGGCTGGGTATGGTGGATCACACCTGTAATCCCAGCACTTTCAGAGGCTAAAGTGGGCGGATCACTTGAGGTCAGATGTTTGAGACCAGCCTGGCCAACATGGTGAAACCCCATCTCTACTAAAAATACAAAAAATTAGCTTGGTGTGATGGTGCACACCTGTGATCCCAGCTACTAAGGAGGCTGAGGCAAGAGAATCACTTGAAGCTGGGAGTGGACGCTGCAGTGAGCTGAGATTGCGCCACTGCACTCCAGCCTGGGTGACAGAGTGAGACTCTGTCTCCAAAAAAAAAAAAAAGACAACTTAAGAGCACCATGCTGACCAAGGTGGGCCTGCTGCACACCAACACACTTCACCTCGTGAGGCAGGAGTCTCACTGTTCCTGATTTATGGAGGAGGCAAGTGATACCCAACAGGATGAATAAACAACCCAAGGTCACACCGTTAGCAAATGATGGAGATCATATTTAAACCCAAGATTCCAATGTCCATGGGCTTTTCAACTCTCCATGTGGCTACTCATGGACATGAGGTAGTGTTAGTCATTGAGCAGTCACTGACACTTTGTACTGTGTTATCTGTACAAACTGTGTAACTTTATAGGACCCGTGACACTTTTCTTTCTACAAAAAATGTCTTTATAAAAGTTAAAATGTATATTAACCAAGTGAGGGAGTTTATATTTTATTAAATCAAAAATGTATTTTTTCTTAAATACCAGAAATAACCAAAATCTTTTTTTCTTTCTTTTTTTTTTTGAGACAGGGTTTTGCTCTGTCACCCAGGCCTAGAGTGCAGTGGCTCAATCTCGGCTCAGTGCAACCTTCACCTCCTGGGCTCAAGTCATTCTCCTGCTTTAGTCTCTGAGTAGCTGGGACTACAGGCATGTACTACCTTTTTTTTTTTTTTTTTTTTTTTTGCTACAGATGGGGTTTCACCATGTTGCCCAAGCTGTCTTAAACTCCTGGGCTCAAGCAGTCTGCCCACCTCAGCAGAAATAACCAAAATCTTAATTTGGCTAATGACTGCTATATTAAAGTCTCTTTAAAATATGCAATTGAAGGGTATTTTAAAAAAAAACAACCATAATTTCTTTATTATTCTATAAACATTATCTAAAGTATCATCTTGACATTTTATAAATAAAAATTTTCCCCCAAAATACTAATTAGCACTCATAATTTAAAATAATCGTTGGCCAGACATGGTAGCTCATGCCTGTAATCTCAATACTTTAGAAGGCCAAGGCAGGTGGAACACCTGAGGCTAGGAGTTTGAGACCAGCCAGGCCAACATAGCAAAACCCGGTCTCTACCAAAAATACAAAAATTAGCTGGGTGTGGTGGCTCACACCCGTGATCCCAGCTACTCGGGAGGCTGAGGCAGGAGAATCACTTGAGCCTGGGAGGAAGAGGTTGCAGTCAGCCAAGTTTGCACCACTGTACTCCAGCCAGGGTGACAGCGAGACTCTGTCTCAAAAAGAAACAAAAAAACAAAAAAAAATAAAGCAAAATAATCTGTCAAGAGTTTTAGAAAGTGTTCGCCTATCAAAAAATTTGCTAATGGCAAATGGCATCTGTGTCTTTGATAAGCATGATTGCTTCAATAAGCAATATTATTTTCAAAGCATGGAAAATGCAGAACTAGCAAATTTATAAAATCACTGCATACTGGTAAGTACAGTCCATGTGCCTTTTAGGACTCAGCTGCTCAACAACCAAGTGAACAAAAAGGAAAAGCTTGGGTTGAGTGACAATGAAAATTCAGTAAACCAGAACAAGCTCCTCAGTGGAAGCGTGAGGTGTGCCATGCGGAGCAGCACGTGGCTGGAGTCCCTTAGGACTTTGAAGGCCTGGGATAACATCTGTGCTTCCTCCTCCTCCCTCCTTCAGCTATGATCGTTGGCTAGCACCATTCCGGGAGCTCCTACTTAATTTGAAATTATGGCCCTTTCATAGCCTCTTCAGGGCTCTGGGCTTCCCCAGTGTGGAGCGTTCCCGCTGAGGACGGCTGCAGAAGCGTCGCGTCGCCGACAACAGTGAAAACAAAGGGACGGGGCAGAAACGTGAGGCAGCAACAGAAAACAGAAGGCAAAGCCTCTCTTCTCCATCATGTGGGAGTGAGGACAAATCCAAAGACAACTCGGCTCAAAGAGAAACACTGATATTGCCATAGATCTTTTAATGCTGCCCAAACATGTTAATATGGTTATAGTTTATCGCTGGTAAGATAACTTTTGAATATTTGACTATACGCTATTGTGTTTTGCTGAGACATGTTGTGTATTGAACCCAGGAAAATATTCCAATATATATTATATTTTGTTTTGACACATCCAAAAACAAAATAATAATATATATATATATATTTTTTCTTTTTCATAGTGGATAATAAATCTTAGGGTCTAAAACATACTTCCTGTTTCTTCATCTAGAGCCCTTAGAAGTGACATATTTCTCCCAAGGAGAGATCCTATGCCCGTTCTAAGACAATTGTTGGGTGTAGTCATGACACACGCAGGCATGCTGAGAACTCAAAAGCTCGGCACTAACTCTTGGAGATACACCTTATTAGCCTTCCCAGGGTGCTAATAAATCTCCACTATGCAGGGTGCTGCCTGGAGAAACCTGCCTCCTTACCTTTGATATGGGGAATGAAGTGGTGTCGGAAAGGGGGGTTGGGGCGGGAGTCGCTGTGGGTGGGGCTGAGGCTGCTGGTGCGCAGGTACGACAACCTCTGCACACCAGGAGACAAAAGCTCTGTGCAGCAAGGAGTCAGGGGCAGGGCACGGTGGAAACAGAAAAGAAGAACAGAAATTAACACAGGAGCAGGGAAAGCGCCATCGTTCCAAGGGAAAACAAAATCAAGAACATTAATCAGGAGGCTGAAAGGGGAGGAAGGAGAAAGGGTTAAGAATGCACCTGCTAAGGCTGAGGCAAAGAGGGGGAGAGTTTGCAAAGAGGTTCAGGCAGGTACAGAGTCACTCTCTGAGAATAAATGGCTTTGGTGAGAAGAAACGGTCACCCAGATGGTCTCTGTCCAGCCAGTAGCAGGCACGTCATTTAAACTCAACAACAGCTGTGTGTAAAACGCACCTGACAAAACAGAACCCTCTGAAATGCTAATTTTAAAAAATGACAAGCGTTGTATTTACATGTAAGGATCAGGTTTCTTTTTTTCTTTTTTTTTCTTAAGCTACAAACTTATCCCACTGGAAAGGATTTTTTTTTGCCTACATAGAAGGAAAACCTATTTGTGTTCCCCGGGTGGCAAGGAGGTGTCTATGATCCTGAGAACTGCAGCAGGAGGACTGGAGGCTGGAAACTCAGTTGTCTCAGGAAGAATGGACCATTCAAATCCAACCTAGACTGAGGTGGGGTTAAATCATCATCTGGCATCTAGAACTTGAGGACTGGACACTTCGAGGTGTTCTACATGGATCACAGGTTTGCTATCAGAATCCCTCCACCTGCACTTTAGAAGGGCAGACCTCAAAATAATAACTCTAAAGCCTAAAAAGTGGCATTAGGCATACATGTCATATATTGTGAAAGGAGAGAAGGAGAAAGTTCTAAAGTCTATTGGCAACAGAACCATGATTGGAACAGATGAAAACTTTCTCAATAAGGACATGAGCTTTTAGGGGAAGAAGTGTTGACTGACCAGTCCCCTCACTATTCAGGGGTCTCTGGAAAAATGATGCCCCCATAACTCCATTCCACTCTGGTAACTCCATGGCTGGGGTCTCAGTGACCTCAGCATGTGTACATGAGCAGGGTGGCAGCATCAAGGATTTCTTATTACCCAGACGTACAAGGGCTTAAATCGATATCCATGTCCTGGGCACCAGCAAAATGAATATAGTGGCCCATGAAATAAGGGAAATCAATTTTCTGGAAAATACTCCTTTAACATAATTCAATAAATAGCATAAATACTTATCAGCATAGAGAAAATTATACATTATCAAAAGATCAAATAGTTTGAATTCTCTACGAGCATTAAATCTAGAGTCTTAGAAGATTGCAGCCTTTTATCCTGTTAATTCCTTTGGTTTTATTTCTTGTGCAATTTATTTTTAAAAGGCAGCACATGGGTTTGTTCTCATCTACCCGTCCAGAAGCAAGAAGCTTAGCATGAATGAAATCTTCATAGATGCACGTCATTGCCATGAAGCTTTATTAGAGGCCAGAATCTTCCTGGCGAATCTGTTTCTCAGGGAATCCTGGGTCTGTACCGGGGTCTCCATTCTTCTCCTACTGGAGGCACCCACCAGTAGCCACAGAGACTAAATTCTCTGCAGATGAAGGTCCACTAAAATCTGTTTCTTTGTGGCACTCTCTACTGTGGTAATGCCTAATGATTTTATGTTTTCCGTGTCTGATGGAAAATCTTAGGGTTGGAAGTGATTTTGTTTTCTAAGTCTGATTGAAAATCTAGGGTTGGAAGGGATCTTAAAGCTGATCAAGAACAGCCCTAGGTACTAGTTCTAGGAAGTGCTTCACCAAGCATGCTTAGTAGCACCATGTACCAGAACAGCCCTAGGTACTCGTTCTAGGAAGTGCTTCACCAAGCATGCTTAGTAGCACCATGTACCTAGATAAGGGAAACAGAAAACATCTGTTAAAAATGGTGAATACTGAATTTTTTAGATGATGTTGGTATGCCTAAAAAGCACATCAAAATATTTTCTTCGGGAGATCTCCATTTTAAGTCTCAAACTGAACAGATTTTCGTTAACTCCAAATTTTTTTTTTTTAAAAACAAAAACCTTTGCTTCCAATAGTTTACTGTCAAAACATAATTATTTAATAAATCAAAATGAACACAGCCATAGAATGACTGATGTTTCTAGAAAAGATGTAGCACAAAATATAGCTAGATACCAGTTTTCATTTTGCTCTGGGACAGGGGCAGAAATGTTTAGGAGTCAATTTTTCAAGGTGCTATCAATGGTAGAGGAAGAAAAATCACAGAAATACAGTTTGTTCTATAGAGTGAATTCCAGGAACAGTCACCCTTACCAGGTCTGTGGAAATGCTGGGGAGAGCGTGACGTGGTTGGAGTGTAACTGTGGCGGCTGTACACAGGGGAGCTGATGGAGCCCTGGCTAGTGGACCGATGGATCATCCGATCCCGAACGTCCTGGTATCCCTGGAAACCAAGTTCAACACATTCAGACTATCACCATTCCTCAGTAGGAACCAAGTTTCACAAACGCTGCCAAGGGACTATCATATCTACTTGTTTACATATATTTGATTAACATACACACTTATTTTCATGTGAAAATTGTGAAGGTATTTTATATGCAAATGAACATTCTGTGGCTAATACACTTTGTTCAAAATCCACAGTACTTGGACTTATTACAAAATTTTAGGAGCCAGGTGTGGCGGCTCACACCTGTAATCCCAGCACTTTTGGAGGCCAAGGTGGAAGGATGGCTTGAAGCCAGGAGTTTGAGAACAGCCTGGGGTACATAGCGAGACCTTGTCTTTACAAAAAAAATGTAAAAAGTTAGCCAGGTATGGTGGCACATGCCTGCAGTCCCAGTTACTTGGGAGTTTGAGGCTGTAGTGAGCTATGATTGTGCCAGGGCACTGCAGCCTGGGTAACAGAATGAGACCCTGTTTCTTAAACAAAATTTTTTAAAGATGAAGACATAGAGACAGAGCTCTGGGACAAGAGATAATAATTCCAATGACCATGTTGATATTGTAGTTTTCAGTTTCATAAACTGTGTTCACATACCTACCAGATCTGCATCACAAGAAAAGGTAGACCATGTGGTATCACCTCCCTCCCCCACTAATGCAGAAACAAGGTTCCAGGCAGGTAAGAGCTCTGTGTGTAGGTGTATAGCTGGTATGGCCAGAGCCTGCTTTGGAACCAGACTCCTGATTCCAATCTCATCCTTTGTTCTGAACGCCAACCAACCTATACTGCCTGTAACATTGATCTGATGGCATTTTAAGTAGACTTTCCCGAAGAACAAGTTGTCGGTTGCCATAAAGTCAGTATTTTACTTCTTACCTTGGGAAACATTCCAAGAAAATAATTTCAAATGCCCTTTAAAAGGAGGAACAATTTATTCAAAGACTTTTATAGTGCCACTATTCATAAAGGCAAAAGTCTGTGTTACATGTTCAACAAATTGGGGCACAATTAAGAAATTATGACATACGGGCCAGGCATGGTGGCTCATGCCTATAATCCCAGCACTTTGAGAGGCCAAGGCGGCAGATCTCCTGAGGTCAGGAGTTCGAGAGCAGCCTGGCCAACATGGCAAAACCTTGTCTCTATTAAAAATACAAAAATTAGCCGGGCGTGATGGTGCACAAGTATAATCCCAGCTACTTGGGAGGCTGAGACAGGAGAATCACTTGAACCCAGGCGGCAGAGGTTCCAGTGAGCCGAGATCGCGCCACTGCACTCCAACCTGGGTGACAGAATGAGACTCTGTTTCAAAAAAAGAAAAGGAAATGATGACATATAAATTCAATGGAATATCAGCACCACTAAAATGCCACCTGTCTCCAAATATAGGAAAGGATATATTAGGCAATAAGGACCAAACAATCACATGCACACAAACACAATATAAAAGTACCTGAACAGTTGAAAGAGCACAAAGAATATTTTACATTTTAAGAATCTGTTGTCGTATGAAATTTCTAATAGCACAATAAAAGTAAAAAGTTTGAAAGAATGCGTGAATACTGACTAAATGAAAGCCTCAGTAACCATAGCTCTGTGGAATCTGAGAGCAAATGGCAAGGAAACTTTGGCTTGGTCTATAAATTAAATAAAAGAACAATGAAACCAAAAGCCCCCAGATTAGGTGCTTCAACCTTGCACAGCTGGTCAACAATAGAAATTAATTCTTCATAATTTCAGTGCAAATTATTAATATGGATAGAAATTAATAATTCATAGCACTCAGTCATAAACCATGAAAATACTATGGTATTTTTACTCCTTTGAATGCCAGAGATTTCCTAAAAGCAGTCCAGTTTCATAACCTCCAGAAAGTTTCTTGGTTTTAAGATCAGATGGTTGATTTCAGACTAAACGGAGTCACCTCCCATCAAGATGGCTCTGCGTACAGAAATATGCCATGACTGCTGTTGGCCATTTCAGTATATTAAGGTTCAAAACCATTCATTATAAATGAAGGCAAAGAGCCCCACATTGGGACAAGTGACTTATGTCCCTATAGATACTTTCCTTCCACTTACAGGACAGACAGATTAGTGTGAAGCCATTTTTATTCCCCGGTCTCCATTTTAAGAGAAATATACTGCTGTGTCTGAGTCTCCTCTTCCTTTGAGGTAATCCCCACAACCATCATAATCCCACAGGCAGTTTTTCTGTTCTTTTCTATGTTATATCATTTTTCAAAAGTCCCAGTCTAGGGAAGGGCTAAGCAATTCTCAAATTCCACCCATTAAAATGATAAAAAGAAATGGTACTTACTTCTGCTGATGGAGTAGGAGACAAAGTCCTCGGAGACTAGAAAAATAAAAGAGAATTTAAAGTCACAATGTTTGTTAACGCTTGGCCAGTTTGTTTATTTGATTGTTTGTTTGTTTGTTTTGAGACAGAGTCTTGCTCTGGTGCCCTGGCTGGAGTGCAGTGGTACAATCCCGGCTCACTGCAACCTCCGCCTCCTGGGTTCAGGTGATTCTCCTGCCTCAGCCTCCTGAGTAGCTGGGACTACAGGTGTGTGCCACTACACCAGGTTAATTTTTTTAAATTTCTAGTAGAGATGGGGCCTCACCATGTTAGCCAGGATGGTCTCAATCTCCTGACCTCGTGATCTGCCCACCTTGGCCTTCCAAAGTGCTGGGATTAAAGGCATGAGCCATCGTGCCCGGCTTCTTTGCCAGTTTTAATTAGAGTTGCTCATCAGAGTCAGCTGGAAACATTAGTCAGTTTATACCTGCCAGCATTCCTCCCCATCTCCCTGTTTTGTGATCAGGCACAAGTGTATCTGTTGTGAGGCTCAGACAGGTAGACTCTGACAAAGCTCCTGGGAGATTCTGGTGCACATCTCTGCCTAAGAACCATGGTTTGAATGGATATGACTGTGACACTTTAGGTGATTAAGCTAGACAAATTGGAACCATTTCCCTTACATGTTCAAACTATGCTCATTTTACTAGGATGAGTTACAGCATCTACCGAAACATAGGATCTTGTACACATGGTTGTACAAGATGTGGTTGACTAAATTACAACCACAGTGATCCCCATAAAATAGTTCGATAACAAAAATAGGACTTTGGTGACCAGGCACGAGGCAACTTGCCTTGGCTGCCTTGCCAATTTCACTGCCATTCACCGCTGGCTTCCATCCTCCTACACACACAGGCTTCCCTGGGGCCATCAACAGGCCAAGCCTTCTCTCACCCCAGGGCCTTTGCACGTGCTGTCTCTTCTGCTGCCAGTGCCTTTCACCCAGACACCTGCAGGGCTTACTCCCCATCTATGCGGACATCTCTGCTCAAACCCACCGTCACACAGCACCTCCGTGAGCATTCCATCGAGAGGAGCAATCTAGCCCCTGGCACGCTTTCTCTTTACTCTGCTTCATTTTTCCTCGGAGCCCTACAACTCTGTAAAATTATATTACACATCTCTTTCCTGTCTGTCTATGATGCCACAGCTGCATGAGGGCAAGGACTGTTTGTTGACAACTACATATTCCCATTGATGACAGCAGCTCCTGGGACATAGTAGGTGCTCAACAAGTATTATCCAAATGAATAAAATGTTTACAATTAAGAGGCAAAAAGCTTTCAAATAGAAATGAAATGCAAACAGAGCTTTGGAGAACACAGCCAACCACGGGTGAACTTCTCGGTTATAGAATTTGCCCTTTTCCCCACATCCCACAGTAAGTGGGTGGACTTTCTGTATTCCAAGCTTTCACAAACTCCATGGTCTTCTCTGCAGCTACAGCCTGTCTCTAGGGGATCTCAGCTGAGTGAAGGCTGGTCTCAAGGTCAAGGCCCAGGTCTATATCTGCACTGACAGTAGGGCCCTAGGAGCACCAATGGCTGCACAGAACTAAGCCAACTCCTGCAGTGTTTCTTAAATGGCAATATGTATAAAGGCAAGGTGCAGTGGCTCATGCCTGTAATCCCAGCACTTTGGGAGTCCAAGGTGGGTGGATTTGTTGAGATCAGGAGTTCACCACCAGTCCGGCAAACATGGTAAAACCCCACCTGTACTAAAAATACAAAAATTAGCCCCATATGGTGGCACATGCCTGTAGTCCCAGCTACTAGGGAAGCTAAGGCAAGAGAATCACTTGAACCTGGGAGGTGGAGGCTGCAGTGAGACAAGATTGCACCACTGCACTCCAGCCTGGGTGACACAGCAATCCTCCATCTCAAAAGAAAAAAGGCAGTACGTACATGAAGTCTATAAAAGAAGTATGTCATTGGGAGGCCGAGGCGGGTGGATCACGAGGTCAAGAGATCGAGACCATCCTGGTCAACATGGTGAAACCTTGTCTCTACTAAAAATACAAAAAATTAGCTGGGCACAGTGGCGGGTGCCTGTAATCCCAGCTACTCAGGAGGCTGAGGCAGGAGAATTGCCTGAACCCAGGAGGCAGAGGTTGCAGTGAGCCCAGATCGCGCCATTGCATTCCAGCCTGGGTAACAAGAGCGAAACTCCGTCTCAAAAAAAAAAGAAGTATGTTAAAAAACTAATGGAATAAATAATAGAACAGCTTGTAAAGTTCTCTCAGTTGCAAGATGTGAATATTGGGAAAGAGTTCACTAATATATATGATTTCTGATCCAAGGGGCACCCTCTATTCATAGGGAAAACCATGGGACGCCATTCCAGGTTATGACATTAAGGGTGCTGATTACGAGAATAGCCAGCATTTTTCTTAAGCACTTATTATATGCCCAGCACTGTTCTAATGTAAACAGCTTCACTTAATCTTTACAGAAAACTTGTAACATAGGTATTCTTGTTCTCTGTGTTGAGTTTGCAGATAAGGAGACTGAGGTATATAATTACCCCAAAGTCATATGGTTAGTCAGCATCAGTCTGTTTTGTTTTTAGTTTTTGTGGTTTTCTTTCCTTCTTTTTATTTTTGAGATGGAGTGTTGCTCTATCACCCAGGCTGAAGTACGATGGCATGATCACGGTTCACTGCAGCCTCAACCTCCTGGGCTCAAGTGATCCTCCCATCTCAGCCTCCCAAGTTGCTGGGACTACAGGCGTGTGCCACCACGCCTGGCTAATTTTTGTATTTTCTTTTTCAGTAGAGATGGAGTTTTGCTAAGGCTGCTGGTCTTGAACTCCTTGTCTCAAGCATCTGCCTACCTCAGCCTCCTTAAGTGCTAAGATTACAGACATGAGCCACCACGTCTGGCAGAGTCTGGTTTTAAATGCAGAAATTTTCACCTCAAAGCCCAAACTCTTGCGTGCTTAATGTTTTACTCTTGAGTACTGGGAAGCACACACAGACACATATGCCGCACACAGACACACCCACACACGCACACCACACACCCCAAATCCTTAACACCATTAAAAAAAATTCACATCCCCTTGCTTGTATGACCTAAACACTAGTAAATTCTCATCCACAAGTTCCAAGCCCAGGGTCTGTGTACTTTGTTCTGGAACTTCCTCTCGCCTCTTATCCCCTGCAAAACTCAGTGGGGTTCAATGGCAACTCAACAACCCTGGCCAGTGCACCTGCGCTTGAGTGGCCACACGTGCAGCTACAGCTAAGTGACCACTAGGTGGCACTACATGAAAATGTATATCACTTCCTGTCCCACAGACCCTTTCCACGCAGAGCTATGCTCTGGAATAAAAAAACCCATATTAGAAAGTAAATAAAAGAAACAACATATATAAGATGACAACTAAATATAATTATAAAATAATAAATATTATACATCTGTAATTGAGAACAAATTAAACAGAATCCTATTTTCGCATCTTTTCTTTAAGACCTCAAAGCATTGTGAGATGCTAGATTGTTTACTTTCCGTTTTAACCTTTGTTGGATAGTTGATTTGTCAGCTATTTGTTAACATATCTCTGTGTGGACTCAAATCAGTCTACAGATGATTCTACCTTAAAAATTAAAAGAGAAAAAAATGGGAGCGAGCAGATAAGCCAGGGGAAACAAACTTGAGTAGGAAGTGACCACAGAGAACCTTCAACCCTGGGATGGGACTGGAGAGGGGAGGACCCTAAGGGGCTGAGAGACTCTGGTCCTGTAGTGTGATGGGTCTGTGGGCTGAGTATTAATGATCCCAAGAGGAGAGGCAGCAACAATGGAAGAAATTGCCACATGCTCAATATTTCCCCCAAGTCTGGCCTCTGCTAATTGCTTTACGCAGATTAGCTTGCCTGATTCTCACCAACCCCCTATGAGGTAGATTCTAGCATTACCCTATCTGTTGTAAAGATGAGGAAACTAGGACCATGTTTCTTTTATTTTCTTATTTTTTTAAATATAGAGATGAGGTCTCATTATGTTGTTTAGGGTAGTCTTCATCTCCTGGCCTGAAGCAATCCTCCTGCCCTCAGCCTCCCAAAATGTTGGGATTACAGGCATGAGTGCTGTACCTGGCCCAGGAAACTAGGGGCAGAATGGCTGTCACAAGGTCCAAGTCAGAAAATCAGCATGTGGTGATCCCTGGGTTGAGACCAGGTAATTCGATTCCAGAATCCTGGCTCACAACCCTGTGCTAGACTGTCGTCCTATGCTCTCTACCTTTTTTTTTCTCTTGCGCATTCTAACTTTCTTAAGTTGCTGAAAATCGTAGCTACCAAAATTTAGACAATGTGTTCTCTCTCCTTATGATCCCATAAATATCCTTACAGTTTATCACTAGACAAAGACCCCCAGGAGACCCTCACACTTTTATTTGCTCTGCCCAACTCACAGAATCCCCACCCACTTCTCAACAGCCCCCCCACCCACCTCCCCACACCTCCAGACAGCTTCCATCCCAGCATGCTAACGCTTAGCTGTTCTTCACTGTTGTTCTATCTGCAGCTGGTCTGTTCTCCCACCTCTCATAACGGGCTTCTGAAGACCTCAAAGCACCTGGTCTAGTAACCTGCAAATACTAGGCAGACAAAAGACCACCTGATTTACCTGAACTCCAGATGGTAGTTACTACAAATGCGACAAGAGAAGGTAAACTGTCATACAACTCAAAACCACTAGGAATGTCTTACCTCTCCGAGGCTCTGTCGCTCCTGTTTGTCCTCATAGCCCGAAGTGTAGAAAGGCTCATAGGTAATAAGATCTGGACGTTCAATGTCATAAATTGCCTTGACCTTGGGAATGGCTGCTAAGTCCTTGTAATCCAGGATCTCATTGTCTACTTTTGCCTGGGAAAGTTAACCAGAAAGAACAATTACTCTGTAGTCTCATTGCTTTGGGAAACTGTTGTTAGCGCATTTCCTGTCGTTTAAAAAGTGCTGGCCTTAAAATAAACAAAAACCAAAACATCTTGCCTAGCACAGAAATTGCTGTTGATATCATTTATTAATCATGGTTTTAAGTCACTGAACACTTAGGAAAAAAAATCTGTGTAGAATTCATGAAATAGATAACTGTGCAAACGTTAAGGATAATTTCCTGAATTTATGACAGGGAAGGAAAAAGCTCAAACAGATGGTCCAATAATCCTCTCAGATGGCTAAAAACAAGAACTGCGTAATTGATAAGCTAAATATTTAAATATCTTTGTGGTGGAATTTAAGAACACTCAGTATCAGCATTATAAAATACAGAATTAATCCCCAAATATCGATATGCAATTTAGGTACAAGAATTTTTTAAGTCCTGCAACATAGTAAGACGTTTTTCAGGTCGTCTGATCACTCTGTTGATGGTCACATTTAAATGTAATTACCTAAAAGGAAATGACTGAGCAGACTGCTCTACAAAAATGAAAAGCCGATCTCATAACAAAAATGGAAATCACTTTGAATTAGTTTTTGTTTTCTATTACAATCCACTAATTTACCTGTCCCGGAAATGTCACTTCCAGAAGTAGATACTTACATAGATAGTATGACCTGGTGAGCCGGGAATACTGGAGCCTGGTCTAGAATAAATACTTTCCGAGGATGTCCTGGTAGGCTGTAAAATAGACAGTGACTTGTAAGATTTCGGACCCTGGCTTCAGAATCAAGACTGCCCTGGGCCCTTAAGCATTACTCAAAACCAGGCTAGTGAAAAAAGGAAACATTTATCACCTTTTTGGATAAGGTAAAATACGACCTAGAAGAAAAGGTAAATGCAAACTAGTTGTGTGATCAGTTTTGAAAAGGCACGGGGAGGCCTTTCTCTGGCCCTGCCGCTCCTTGTCCCCTACAAGAACTTCCGGTTTAGCGTTGAGCACAGCTCAAAGCTGCCCATTTATCTCCCTCTCTACTGCCATAGTCCCAGACCCAGTTACCACCTCCATTCATCCAGATTATTGCAGTGGCCTCCCTGTGCATTTTCTGCCTTCTCCCTTCCCTTCTTCAAATCCACCTGGCAGGCGATGGCTAGAGAGACCTTTAAAGAATATCATTTGGATGGTCACTACTCTGCTTTTGTCTCCAGCATTGATATGGTTTGGCTGTGTCCCCACACAAATCTCACCTTGAATTGTAATAATCCCCAAGTGTCAATGGCAGGGCCAGGTGGAGACTACTAAATCATGGCGCCGGTTTCTCCCATACTGTTCTTGTGATGTGAATAAATCTCACGAGACTGATGGTTTTATACATGGGAGTTCCCCTGCACAAGCTCTCTTGCCTGTCACCATGTAAGACATGTCTGCTCCATGTAAGACATGTCGGCTTCTGCCATGATTATGAGGCCTCCCCAGCCATGTGGAACTGTGAGTCTATTAAACCGCTTTCCTTTATAAATTACCCAGTCTCGGGTATGTCTTTACTAGCAATGTGAGAACAGACTAATATAAGCATCCATTCAGAATGAAATCACAAAACCAGGGCCTCAGGATTGTATCCCTGCCTTCCCCTCCTACCTCGTCTCTTACCTGTCATCACTCATAGAACATGGTGCACAAGGCTGCATCGGCGTTCTTAACCTCACTCACTGTTCCCTCTGCCTGAAATGCCCTAGTTCCCAATTTTACTTGGATGATTCTCTCTTCCTTCAGTCTTGGCTTAAATATCACCTCCTCAGAGAGGCTCTCCCTGATTCATTCCAGAGTTGGTTCCCCTTGTTGTTTTCTCACCTCGTATCAGTCTTACTTTTTTTCCTCATGAATAAAATGTGTGATGATATATTTACTGGTTTCCTTGCATCACGTCTGTCTCTCTCGTTAACTTTAGTCATACTCTCTGCCCTCATAGAGTTTATTTACTTTGTAACCACTGTCTATACCCAATGCTTTCTACAGATACATTGAAGGCACAAATCCTAGTTGAGGGAAGGAGTTAGAATTTATTATTTGTAAACAAATACTCAGTTTGCAGACACCTGACTCACGTTAGTTACATGATTTGAGCCTAACTACCCAGAGACTCGCTGCGGTAAGGCTGGTGGGTCATCCTTTGGGGAGGATGAAAGAAACTGGACCTCATAATATCTACTTGAAGAACGTGGAGAGCGAGAGGTGGTTACGTGAGCAGGAAGGAAACTTATCAAGTAGGATCAGCGGCCTCCTGCTTCTGTTTAATGTAGTCTGGAAAACTCTGCAGAGAAACCTCAAGGCCTCATTATGGAACACTTCCTCGCCCCGGTTGCAGCTATTTCCTGGAGAGGATAATTTATAGTTCTACAATAGGAATAAGACCTTTCCTCCTCAGTGCTGTGTCTACTGATGCTCAATACCTTGAATATGGGCATCACTGAGCCAAAGAAACTCCTTCAGACAAGGGTGTTACCTCACTATGTTGAAACAGTGAAGACAAACATATCTGGCCCAGTCAGGTCAGGCAGTGATTAGACTCATCACTGGAGGACGTGATCCGTCTTTTTTCTGCCAATGCCCCTAGTATCTTTGAGCTAGGCGGAAGTGGGTGGGAGAAATCACACCACACCCAGGTGGAGGTGCGCCAGGTGCATCACTTCTGAGCCTCTTCCCAGGACCTGCCATGCACAAGCGCTTTCCTGCTGGAGTTATACCAGTCACAGGCATATCTCAATATGAGAAAACTCTACCTCTTTGAGTATGTTGAAAAAGGGACTCACATAACACTACTCAAGAAATGTGCAATCTCTAGATCCGTTTTCTAATCAAAATATAAAAATGACCCAATCAAAATGCACCCCTCCTTTACAAGGAGATGCTACCCCTTGAAAAAGCGGGGCCTGTATCAATCTCTGTGAGATATTAACCACAGGTAGTCCTTCAGCTTCAAGTGGCCAGGATCTCACATTTGTCAAACTCAATGTCAAAATGAAACCTCTTAAGTAGCAACCAAAGAATATCAATGGCAGCGAATGTCTACTGCCCACTCACAATGTGTCAGCCCTGTGCTCAGCACCTCTCAGGCTTAATCTCATGTAATAATCTCAGTAACCCTAGGAGGTAGCTTCCATTATTATTCCTATTTTACGGATAAGGAAAAAACATCAGTGCTCCAAGTCACATAGGTAGGAAAGGGATGAAGAGTCAGGATTTGAACAGGTCCACAGTCCAAGCATTAAGGCCTGCACTAAAATGTTGCTTGTATTGTGGGGCAGGTGTGATCATTCATTTCCCATCAACATAACCATGGAATGAAATGAAGAGAAGTATTGAGATGAAGTAGCAGAAAGGAATTCCTGCTAACAGAAAGTATTTTTATTGTGCTAGCTCTGTAAGAACACTGCAATAGCTCTCTGGGCTGGGGTGGGGAGAGGGTGTGTGGCAGGAGCATCAGATGTCTTCGGTTACTGGGGTTGCTATGACAAAGGCCTGTTTTCATTAACAAGCATCCAGGACATTGTGGGAACAGCCAAAGCATACACTGGGGCTTTGGGGTCACTTGTACGTTACTCATCCTTACTTTTGCCAAGTGTGGGGCAAGGATACTTTCAGCCTTTGCTGTAATGATGCACCTGGCAATGGCTCTAAATGGTTTTATTTGCTCTTGTACTGCATGTGCTGGGAGAAACAGAGCTGAAGAACAACACAGGCACACGTAGGGAAGGGGTCTTTAACACTACCTTCCGGGGATGAAGAACTTCATGGACAGAAAAGGCAGTTCTCTTGGCAGAACAAGCTTATTTCAGTTTAGTTTCTCTCTCCCTTCCTTCTTGACTAGATTAGAGGATCCTATGAGTTATGCAGGCTTTCTTGGAGTCATTTACCTTTTTAATTTTCGCTATTAATATTGTTGAGCTAAAGATTTTTAAAGTGATTCAACAATTTGAATTTTTTCAAGTCCCATTTGGTTTTTAAAAAGTTTTCAGATCCACTGGGAGGCAAGGTGGGTAGATTACCTGAGCTCAGGAGTTCCAGACCCAACTTGACCACCACGGTGAAACCCCATCTCTACTAAAAATACAAAATTAGCCAGGCATGGTAGCACATGCCTGTAATCCCAGCTATTCAGGAGGTTGAGGCAGGGGAATCACTTGAACCCAGGAGGTAAGGGTTACAGTGAGCTGAGATCATGTCATTGCATTCCAGCCTGGGCAACAAGAGCATAATTCCATCTCAAAAAAAAAAAACTTTCAGATCCAAATCACCTCCAACTTGCATACACTCATCCCCAAGTTCTCTGATTCAGAAATAAATATTTTAGGTTTTAACAGTCAAGCAGTTTTCAAAGTCAGGTGAACTGGTCATCAAATTTTCTGATGTTCTGGCTTGTCTTAGAGCCATCACTCTACTACTTGCATCTTCAAACTGTTTACTGTTGAGAAATGTTCTGATGTATCTTGGTGATATGATTCGGGGCTGTGTCCCCACCCAAATCTCATCTTGATTTGTAATCTCCATGTGTCAAGGGAGAGAACTGATTGGATTATGGGTGTGGTTCCCCCCTGCTCTTCTCGTGATAGTAAGAGAATTCTCACAAGATCCGGTGGTTTTATAAATGGCAGTTTTTCCTGTGCTCACATATTCTGTCTTTCCTGCCACCATGCGAAGAAGGTCTTTGCTTCCCTTTTGCCTTTTGCCATAATTATAAGTTTCCCGAAGCCTCCCCAGGCATACAGAACTGTGAGTCAATTAAACCTCTTTTCTTTATAAATTACCCCATATTGGGTAGTCCTTTATAGCAGTGTGAGAATGGACTAACACACTTGGAGATTAGGAAAGTGGTTTTTCTTTCACTGAATTTACCATTGTTTGTTTTTGCTTCATTCTGACCTCCTAAGTTTATGGTACCCCCATGCTGGGGAGTTTACTTCTATGGGCTTCTTGTTTACGAGTTGAGTTGTATTCTTGTTGCCTATTGTTTTACAATGGCCCTATTCTGTTTTCCTGTCTATATTAAAATGATGGGATAAAACACATCTATGTATTTTATGTAATAGAATGGGCTTAAAAGGCTGGCTTTGGTGCCAAATAACAGTTCAGATCTGGGCTCAACTAGTTGTTTGATGTTACATGAGTTTTTCTTTTCCTTTCTTTTAACTTTCTTGAGCTTCAACTTCTTCATTTATAGAATGGAGCAAAGTGTACCAGCATAACCATGTCATAGGGTTAAATGAGAGAATACATATACAGCTCCAAGCACCTTGCAGGCACATGGCAAGTAGTCAACATTTTCCAGACACTTGGATTTGGACTAGGTTTCTTAGGCAGTTAATCTCAAATAATGCCTCTGTTTTGCTCTTCATGAATATTCCCTTCATATGTGAGCTACATAGAATGAGGCTTCCCCAGCATTCTCTACAGCTATCGCACTTGGACTCCTTCCCATCAGAACTCAGATATGTTAAGTAATGCATCACAGTATATGGGGCATCAGTCCTGCCAGGAGCTGACAGATACCCTTCCCCTCCTCGAGAACTCTGTGAAGTGATTCCAAATGCTCTTGGAGACAGTGACTGTGTCTCAACTTTAGTAATTAATGCCCTTCCCATGATGATGACAATGACCTTGTACAGTCTGTCTTATCTGCCAGGACAGTTCCTGGTTTGCTGCCTACTGAACTATGCTCAAGGCTTAAGTGACACGCATGGAT